CCAGGATGGATCGTAGGCAGGCCAGCCTAAATGTTTCTAACCGGCGAAGATGTTCCATTAGGGGGGTCCACGTTTCGCAAGCATAGAGAAGGGGGGGAATGACCGAGGCCGAGAAGACCTGAAGCTTAGTGCGGAGCGACAGACCAGGTAGCTTCCACACAGCGTTACGCAACCGATGAAAAGATATTGCCGTTCGACTGATTCGGAGTGAGACCTCTGCTGTTAAACTGGAGCCGGTCATAAGCACACTTCCCAGGTATGGGAAACTCTCCACTCTCTCCACAACTGCCCCATCACCGATTGGGAGTTGTGGGGGTGGAGTGTCCGATGGTACAAAATACCCAGGCAGGTGCTTAATTTTGGTGGGGCTGATGGTAAGGCCCCATCTCTTAGTGGCACGCTCCAGTCTCAGCAGCAGTGTCTCCAACTCCTCCTCTGAATGAGCAGCTATTACCAAATCATCGGCATACATAACGTGTTTGAGCAATAGAGAGCCATCGCTTGACCGCACCCGGGCATCGATCAGCCTCCCATTATATCTGTACCATATGGAGATTCCCCCGGTACAGCTATTGAAGGCTTTACGAACTACGTGGTCAAAATAGATGTTAAATAATGTGGGAGCCAGAGGACATCCCTGTCGCACCCCACAGTGTACAGGGAATGGCTCTGACTCCCGGCCACGTAGTTTTACCCGGGCCCGCTCACCACCATGAAGGTCCTTAATGATCGTGAGCAGAGGGTCAGGGACTCCAAAAGCACGAAGAACAACCCAGAGCCCAGGCCTATTGATGATACCATAGGCCTTGACCAGGTCAATAAAGCAGAGATGTAGATCTTGCTGGAATTCCCTACACCTCTGCTGTAGCAGACGGACGGAAAATATGGCATCTGTGCAGGACCGCCCTTTACTGAAACCGCATTGGGGCTCCGCAAGCCTCTCCTCAGCGTGCCTGGCAAGGCGATGTTGAATAATCCTAGCCAGGACCTTTCCCTGCACACTGAGGAGTGAGATGCCCCTGTAGTTGTTACAGTCTGTGCGGTCCCCCTTCTTAAAGAGGGGGACCACCTGGGCATTCTTCCAATCCTGCGGAACCCGTCCAGTGGTCCAGACTGTTGTTATAATATAGGGCAGTCTGTGCACAAACGCCACCCTCCCTCAGCATTTCGCTTGGAGATCATCTCTGCACACTGCCTTTCCTGCTCTCAGACTCCGGATCGCCTTCAGTACTTCCTCAACAGATGGCACTTCAGCCAGCCACTCACAGGGGGTGACTTCTTCCAATATTTGAGGCACCGCAGCCTCAGCAGGGTCATCCTCACTTTGTGCCACGATGTTTTCCTGGCTGAGGGATTTTTCCCTCCCCCACGACCTAACAGAAATGCTCAGCAAATCTGCAAACCTGTTCCTGGAGGTCGGAGATTGGATCACCGTTTTTTCCCCTAATGATGGTAATAGGTGTGGCGCTGCAGATTACTTTTTTGATGGAGTTATATAGAGATTTGTGATCGCGGGCCACTGAGGCAGACTCCATGTCCTCTGCAACCCGCGACCACCACCCATCCTTGCAGCGCCTCACGGCTCTCCGAACCTCCGAGCGAAGGCTGCGATAAGGCTCCTTATTCTCTGACGTGGGATTCTGTAGCCGATGACAGTGGGCCTGTCCCTTTTTCTCAACCATCCTGAACACCTCCTCTGTCAGCCAGGGTCTCTGGGGAGGTCTGGACCGCGTACCCAAAACAGCCATTGCAGCTGCATGAGTCACAGTCCTAAACCTCGCCCATATACCCTCGACATCAGGAGGAGTCGGGGATGATGCCAATCCCAGCCGCAAGCGATGATGAAATTCTCGCTTGCAACTTTCATCAGATAACTGAGACCAGGCCACTTTAGGTTGGAATGGGGTCCTGGGTGTACACCCACCACCGGAGCAAAATGGCAGGCGCATCTTACAGATGACAAGTCGATGGTCAGAGGGCAGATCAGCTCCACGGTAGGTCCTGGTGTCAAGGACATGGGCTCGCATCCCCTGGTCCGTCACTATGTAGTCCAGCAGATGTTCTTGCTTGGACCCGGCATGCATCCATGATGTTGTGTGGATGCGCCGATGCCAGAACAGCGTGTTGGTAATTACAAGCCCATGGGCTGCACGAAAATCTAGCAGCCTCCTACCGTTGTTATTGAGCTTATCTGGCCCATGCCCTCCAATCACTCCAGACCAGGTGCCAGCATCATGACCAACTCGGGCATTGAAGTCACCCAACATGATGACTCTATCCCGAGGTGCCACTTTAGCCAGCACCTGTGACAGGAGGTCATAGAAGGCATCTGACTCATCGGCTTTGCCTGCATCCCTCCACGGATGTTCGTCTTCGGTGGGGGCATAAGTAACCACGACCACCACTCCTCGCCTCCGGTTGATGGGAAGGCGAGCCTGGGGCTTACACCTTCCCACACCTCACTGCCACGCTCCCACGCCCCCTTCATTCTTTTGTTCAAAAGAAGAGCCACACCCTGTTGTTTGGCAGTCTGCTGCCCCGAGTAGAGGACTGTGGCAGGAGCCACAACCAGTCCACCGGACCTCCTCAATGCCACAGAGATCCAGGCGGTACCGGTCCAGCTCCCGACAGAGCAGTGGCAGCCTCTCCTCCACAGTGAGCGTTCGAACATTCCACGTTGCCACACGAAGTGGCTTTTCGCTCTTTCTGGAGCCCCGAGGGTAGAGATTCAATCTCCTGGCTCCACCAATTGGGGTTTGGCCAGGAGACGTGATAGACGCCTATCCCCCCTGGGCCTCCGGCACAAGCTTATTAATTATATATTGAAGTCGTAGTTTCGTGGTAATTTTTTGAAGGTGGAGGGGTTACCAGCCCCTCGTACCCGTCCAGAGGCCCCCGTTTAGCCCCTGTGGTGGTCACAGACGCCATGAGGGGAGGAGCCAATCGGAATTGGTCCTCCCCCCACAGCACTGTCCACGACAGTGTTGCCCGTCCGGCACCGCGAGGAGGTAGGGGGTTGTTTTGCTGGACACACATACACACATACATACACACATACACACATACATACATACACACATACATACACACATACACATACATACATACACACATACATACACACATCCATACACATACATACATACACACATATACACATACATACAAATATACATACACGGTAGTGTAACGCTTAGCGCGCTGCGCTGTGAACCTGACGATCCGGGTTCGATTCCCGCTCACGGCCAACACCAGTGACGATTATCCGAACCGGTCCCGGGCCTCCCCTAGGTCGACTCAGCCTCAAATGAGTACCTGGTGCGGTGTGTAAACATTGCCACTAGGGAGACAAAGGCGGCCGGGCGTGGTACTGGCCACCCACCCCCTCGTGTACCGAGCCGGCCTTCATAGGTGCTCGCTAACAGCACTTGCCCCTACATTCTGTTAAGGCTATATGGGGGATCTTTATCTGTGTATGTGTGTGTGTCCAGTCGCTGTTGGCCCATCCCGGCATGATGTGAACTATTTATAAAATTTTATTTGACCAGGTAAGGCTCCCAATTAAGCTACGAAAACTCTTTTTCAGAAGCGACCCGGCCACCACGAATGATAACGGAGTGACTGATTATAAAATCGTCATCATCACACGGACATTGATAGCAGCAACCAAATACTGGACAACGCTGTAGGCTACGGGGCCCTACCCCGAGATGTCGGGGCCATTGATTGGGAGGGGGATGAAGAAGATCGAAGTGGGGGAGGTGGGGGCAGAAGAGACGAAGTGGGGGTGGGGTGGGGGGAGAGGGTGGAGAGGAATGAGAGGCAATGGCGAGGAGAGGGATGGAGGGGGAGAGAGAGAGAAGAGAGGTGGAGGAGGAGGAGGAGGGTGCAGTGGTGGACGTGTAGCTCAGAGTGTATCAACGCAATCCTCTTAGCCCGGGCGGATGAGCCCCCATTTCCTCACCCCTATCCTGCCACCCCTCCTAGCCCCCAGCCACACAAACACACGCAGCCCACCCCCACCACTACCACCCACAGCAGGTAAGCCACGAGGGGCCATCCATTGAGTAGCAGCAGCAGCAGCAACAACAATCTGTCACAACTTGACCCCTCACCCCCTCCCTGTTACTCACGCGGACTTTTTACAGCCCCCCCCCACCACCACTTGTGTAGGTTCGCCTGACGCACCCCTCCCCCCCACGAATCCTATAGAACGGCCGATATTTAATCGACGCAGAAACGATCAAGGATGAATAATATTAACGTGCTCAACAAAACAGATAATCCACCGCCGGACTATCTAACTAATTTAAAGGCTCATGTAGACAATTTGTTATCGAGGCTCCACCCCTCCCCCCCATGTCCTATGCGTCCGTACATTGTCAGTAGACCCCCCCCCCCCATACGTAAGCGTCCGCGTTTGGGTGGACCCGCCTCCCCCGCTCCCCCCTCCATGCGTACTCAATGGATGGCCCCCAATCGCTTTTCAGAGTTATCAAAGTGTGCCACAAAGAGATTGTTTTTTAAAGTCTGGGCCACTGGCAACTTTACAAGGTGTTCCCAAGGAGCTGGGACTAAGGCGCGAAAGAAACACTTCGACAAATCGCGCTTCCCCAAGGAGCTAAGCGGGGGCGGCTGCCGCGCACCCTACAACACGCGTGCCGTCTCGTACCCCGGTAGGCAGGGTGTTCCATGATGTAGGGGATGCGTTGTTTGCACGGACGGCTGTGTGTGCGTGTGTGCGTGTGTGCGCCCTGCACGTGCGTAGTGGTGGAGCGGTGGTTAGCGCACTGCGAAACGAACCCAGCGACCCCCCGCGTTCAATCCATTCTCGTTCACGGACAATAACAGTGGCGAGCAAATTAATATATGAAGGGGATCTGGGTTCACCCTAGCTCGAGACAAAGACGGCCGGGCATGGTGCTGCCCCACCCCCTTGCGTGTCGTACCAGCCTTCACAGGTACTACTCGCTAACAGCACTTGCCCCAACGGACTCTCAAGGCTATACGGGGCATCTTTGTGTTTGTGTCCCCCGATCAGACCCGCTTTGCACGGGGATTAGCGGGACAATTCTGCTGATTGGGCCTCTTAATCCATCCCCTGGGTCGCGTGTAGAGAGCACGCACGGTTTCCTGGACGAGCACTCATCCACCACGCACTGGTAGTCTACCACTCAATAATCATCATCCACCACCACCAATAACAACAGTAACCACCTTACTCATCCACCCATTCTATTGTCCACCATCCTGGGACATTCACCCACCTCTGGGCTCAGCATCCACCACTGACTCATCATCCTGTGCCATCCCTTAGTTCACCCATCATTCAATCCATTCTTCCACTGATCCAGCTTACCGCCATCATCATCATCACCAGCATCAATCAATCATCCGCTCCACCCCATACAGCCATTCCTTAATCCACAGCTACATCGTTCCATCACTCCTTCCACCCATTCACACCTCCATACGACATCATCAGCAACATCATCATCAGCAACATCATCAGCAACATCATCATCGTCGTCGACCTCAACTGGACTGCTCGCCGTGGTGCGGGCAGGATGGTGGTGGTGGTGGTGATGGGGGACGCGGTCAACAGAGACTCCGAGCTGCACCGCTGGATTTGAGGATTTGGCGAAGCACGGTGAGTGGCGTGGTGTGGTGTCGATTGGTGTGGTATGAATGGTGTGGTGTGAATTGTGTGGTGTGGGGGGTGTGAGGGGTGTGGTGTGAATGGTGTGGTGTGAATTGTGTGGTGCGAATGGTGTGGTGTGAATGGTGTGGGGTGGGGGGTGTGAGTGGCGTGGTGTGGTGTGAATGGTGTGGTGTGAATTGTGTGGTGTGAGGGGTGTGAGTGGCGTGGTGTGGTGTCGACTGGTGTGGTGTCGATTGGTGTGGTGTCAATTGTGTGGTGTGGGGGGTGTGAGGGGTGTGGTGCGGTGTCAGTGTAGACTGGTGTGGTGTGAGCGGTGTGGTGTGAGTGTAGACTGGTGTGGTGTGAGTGGTATGGTGTAGACTGGTGTGGCGTGAGTGGTGTGGTGTGGTGTAGACTGGTGTGGTGTGAGTGGTGTGGTGTTGACTGCTGTGGTGTGAGTGGTGTGGTGTGAGTGTACACTGGTGTGGTGTGAGTGGTCTGGTGTAGACTGGTGTGGTGTAGACTGGTGTGGTGTGAGTGGTGTGGTGTCAGTGTAGACTGGTGTGGTGTGAGTGGTGTGGTGTAGACAGGTGTGGTGTAAACTGGTGTGGTGTGAGTGGTGTGGTGTGAGCGGTGTCAGCGTGAGTGGTATGGTGTGGACTGGTGTCTAGTAGCAGTGTGTGCAGTGTGTCCGTGTGTTACCCCTGGCCGTGTGTGGCGCACGATTGTCTCGCGATGAGCGCAGTGTGGGGTGAGCGAGTCTGGTGAGTCGGCCGCGGTGTGGTTGTGTGCGGTCGTGTGCTCGGCGAGGTGGACTCGTAACGGGACCATGGTGACGTGGGCCAGCCTCACCCACACGCTCACCGCCGCCGCGCACCCAGCATCTGAATCGTTATCCCTCGACGAAATGACTTAATCAATAAATATGCGGGCAATACGTCTCAATGACCTATCCGTCTCTGACCTCCACTGGCTTCCCGATCCCCATCAGAATCGACTTCAAAATCACCTGCCTCTGTTGCGCTGCCGGTCGCAATTGAGACCTCTCGGGCCTCGTGATGTCCTGCTCCAAAATCATCGCCACAACTCTACCCAGGAGTTACTCTCCACACCGAGAGTCAGGGACACGATGATCGCCAGACGTGGTTTTTCCGTCCACATTCGCAGCGCTTGACTCTTTACCTAACTTTAAGCGCCTTCTCAAGCAACATATATATATTTTTTATTATTCTTGGATCTTCCGGTAAAGTCACGTAGATAGTAAATACAAGAAAAATAACGGGTAATAAAATTAAATAAAATTAAATAGAAAATAATAAAAGGAAATAAACCACGACGTTGCGATCGCAACACAAACGGACTTATTTTATAATCTGTTATTTTTATTTTATTTTCTATCTACGTGACTTTACCGAAAGAACCAATAAAATGAATTTCTGCAGTCACGAAAGCTTCAAGTCAAAATGTAACATCTTTTCAATTCGACTTTTACAGAGTGGATCTCTGAGCTGGACTGCTATCGAGAAAGTGAAAATTGTACGCGTTACAAATGATCATGATTAGTATTATTATTCTCGAAATACAAAACCATCCGAGTGTTTGTTGCACAACCCATCGGCCACGCGGCCTTCTGCGATTGCATAATTTCAGCAGGATTAGTTCCAAGCAAGAATTACTCTGGGCCGGATTCGATGCCCCAGTATCTCATCGGCAGCAGAGTCCGCCTTGCCTGACTGAATCGATGCCGGCGAACTATCGATCTTACAGTTAAGGCCCCCATTCCTTCCGATACGGTGGTCTTATATATGTCAATCGGGTCGCTCTCTACCTGTGTGTCTGTGTCACAGCTGCGTGCGTCATGCATGTGTAATGATGGACCAGCGTGCCACGTGTTTGAGACTCACACCTCTGCGATAGCGCTGCACCACCGTTATCTTCTGGAGGCCTCTGCCCAGTGGCCGGTGTTTAGCCCAATCTCTCTCCATTCCGTCTGATCTTGAACTTTCCTCTCCATGTAACCGTAAGTCCCCTCCCCCCCTCTCCCACACATCCTTCCACTTCTTTCAAGTCGATTGGCATTTGTCTGTTGCTGCCACTTGGTCTCTTTCCCAACTTTCTTCGAGAGTTTCCTTCATCACGTGTCCCCTACACAGAATCTGCCCAATCCACATTTACTTGCCTGGTCTGAATGTTCTCGAGAAACTTCTCTCATCCTGAGCCTGCCCAAAAAACGTATTCACGTCTCTTTCCATGATTTTCTGAATTTGACACCACAACCCACACATCTCTAGACTTTTCACTCCTATAACGTCTTCCTTTGTCAGAGTCCCAAGTTTCTTTGCCTACTACGCTCAACACTGCACACTCCACACTACTCTCCACACACTTTGGTCTTCACCAGACTCTTCAACTCTCCGCTCATCCGTTGCGACAGCTGTGTTCTGCTGCCGAACGCCGGTTTCCCCGTGTCAATCCTGGCTCTAATCTCATTTAAGCACCGTCCATCTTCTGCCAGAATGCTTCCCAGATGAACCCACATTATCCCACTGATTACCCACTGTTGATCATCCACCAAGACGTTGACCAGCTTCCACCTTGACCTGTGATTTCCACTGTTATTATTTTCTGTAAATCCGTTCTCTATTCCCAAGTCTCTCACAGAACTTGGTTCAGGATTTCTAGCGATCGATTTGGTCGGTTCACCGCTTTTGCACTTTCCCGCCAGGTCACGCCGCCGTGACGACACTTGGCTGGGAGCTGAGCCTCGCGCATCACGTGACGGTGGTGGTGAACTGCAGCCCAATCAGCAGCTACCGCGCGATGTTCCCACGTGACCCTAACATCTTGGCGTCATCGACGCCGACTGGCAGAGCGGAGACGGTGGCCACTTTCAATAATGCGCGACGGGAAATTACAACCAATGGTGGCGTCAAGGACAACATCAAAAGCAATAGCAACAGCCTTAACGACGTCTACTGCAACAACGACAACAACAATATTGACATTAACATCGTCGAACAGGACGGCAGGAGCAACAGTAATATCCGCGATGACGTCATGAAGAAACGCGATGGCGTCATAAGGCATATCAATGGGGCCGCGACAACGAGGGGAGGGGCCGGGCACGGCGTGACCGCGCCACATCACGTGAATTGCCTGGCCAATCACCCGCGGTGGCGGGACACGGCGGTGGCGCGCCACTTGTGGTTGTTGCATGCGGCGCTGGTCACGTGGGAGCTCGCATCGCTGTGGCAACGGCCGGGACACGACGCTGCGTGGTTATCGAGGACCGATGCTCACGCGCAGGATGAGTCGTTGAGAACCGGATGGATGGATGAGGAGAGGAGGCGAAAGATGGGGAAAGTGATGACGACGACAACGACGATACTGATCATGGTGACAATGATGATGATGAGGGACGGGCCATCTTCGATAATGACGTTGACGCCAATGATTATGCCGACGCCAAAGGCAGTGATGATCATTGTGGTGGTGGTGGTGACGACGTTGATGACAATTGCGATGAGGTGGCAGAGGACGAGGAAGAACAGGGAGATGATGCAGGAGAGTCCAATTGATGAGAGGCCACAAGAGGCATCGTTGATGATACGGGCACCACTGCACCTGCGGCAGTTGCAGCCTTGGAGACTATTGCATCAGTCACTACCCAGGCAGCTGCATCAGTCACTACCCAGACAGCGGCATCAGTCACTACCCAGGCAGCTGCATCAGTCACTACCCAGACAGCCGCATCAGTCACTACCCAGGCAGCTGCATCAGTCACTACCCAGACAGCCGCATCAGTCATTTCCCAGACAGCCGCATCAGTCACTACCCAGACAGCCGCATCAGTCACTACCCAGGCAGCTGCATCAGTCACTACCCAGACAGCCGCATCAGTCACTATCCAGACAGCCGCATCAGTCACTACCCAGACAGCCGCATCAGTCACTACCCAGACAGCAGCATCAGTCACTACCCAGACAGCCGCATCAGTCACCACGTCCCTCGCTGCTCCTACCGCTGCTGCTGCTGCTGCCGCCGCTGCTGCTGCTGCTGTGGCTGCCGCGTCCCGGGCTGGGCGCCACCTTCACGGTCGGCGTGGCGGGGCCCTGGCAGTGTGGCGACGCCGCCGTCTTCGGCCGCGCCTACCCCGAGCTGGCGGGGCGCCTCGCCACCGAGCGCGCCAATTCGGAGCTCTCGGTGCCGGGGCCCGGCCGCGAGCCGCTCGGCTACTGGTTGGAGGCCACGATGCTCAGGGAGGAGTGCGAGGTCCCCCGCGCGCTGCAGGTAGGGCCCTCCAAACGGAGCCCACACGACTAGTCTGGACCGACCGGTGACCTCCGACTGGTACCAACCGACCAGTCCACACCAACCGGTACCCACCGACAGGTAGCCACCGACCAGTCCACACCAACAAGTACCCACCGACAGGTGCCCACTGACCAGTCCACACCAACCGGTACCCACCAACAGGTAGCCACCGGCCAGTCCACACCAACCGGTACCCACCGACAGGTACCCACCGACAGGTACCCACCCACCGACAGGTACCCACTGACCAGTCCACACCAACCGGTACCCACCGACAGGTGCCCACCGACAGGTACCCACCGACAGGTAGCCACTGACCAGTCCACACCAACCGGTACCCACCGACAGGTACCCACTGACCAGTCCACACCAACCGGTACCCACCGACAGGTACCCACCGACAGGTACCCACTGACCAGTCCACACCAACCGGTACCCACCGACAGGTACCCACCGACAGGTACCCACCGACAGGTATCCACACGACAAGACTCATCGACCGATCCCGATCGTCCGTTCCCCCTTGACCCTTTCCCGGGTGCATCGCGCGTTGGACCTCTCTTCCACCGTTGCGCGTGACTCTGTGACTCTTCTGTGACCGACCGCTCTGTGTTCGCGAGCACCGTGGGACGGCTGAGCCCAGCACAGAGAGAAAGCGCGAGCGAGCCGGAGCAGGCCAGGCGGTTGTGCGAGGTCCGGAGTGCGATGACGGTGCAGCAGGTTTTAGTTCGTCGTTTATCGAATTCTCAATCGCGTTAAAAAAATATAAAAACAATTCCTGATGATGATCGCTTGTGTTGTGATCGAAACATCGTAGTTTTTTTGTTATTTTCTTTGAACCTATCTACGTGACTCTACCAAAAGATCCAAAGAATATAAAAAACACAACGCTTAGGTAAATCCTTTACAGTATGATGTAGATACTACTATTATAGTCCTTAGATACTATCACTGTAGAGCGGGCGGGGGGATGGTGGGGTGGGGGGTAGCCGCCCAGCCCCAGCCTTCAAAGGTGCCACCTCGGCCGGCTGGGCAATCTAGGCAAGGCCGGGGGCTCTGCATGGGACTAGGCCTCACCACTACACTCTGTGAAATTAGTACTATTATCCACTGATACTACTATAGAGTCAGTAGATACTACTGTATAGTTAGTAGATACTACTACTGTCAGTAGATTCTACTATGGTCAGTAAATACTACTACAGTCAGTAGATACTACTGTAGAGTTAGTAGTTACTACTATAGTCAGTGGATACTACTATATTCAGTAGTTACTACTATATATTCGGTAGATACTGCTATAGAGTCAGTAGATACTATCGTAGAGTCGGTAGATACTGCTTTAGTCAGCAGATACTGCTATATAGTCTACATATATTACTATAGCGTCAGCAGATACTACTATGGAGTTAGCAGTTAATTCTATAGTCAGTAGATACTCCTATTGAGTCAATAGATACTACTGTAGCGACTCCTGACTCGAGCTGTAGAGGTGTATTTTATTGCACATAACATAGCTTAGGACCACGTCGTCATGGGATAATGCGGACGTGGAGATCGTACGACCGAGCAGACAGGGACGAGGTGAAGACAGTGACGAGGTGAAGATAGTGATGCCCTGAAGACAGTGACGATGGCCCGGGTCCCTCTCGACAGCCCCCAACTTCCCTTCTTGTCCTGCTTTTATCCTCGTGGATTATCTGGGGGAATTTCCCCCCAGCCGTCTCTTTTGGACACTCTGGGGAATTCCCCAACCAAGATCCTCCAGACTTGCTGGTGCCTTGTCTTTGCATCCAGCCTCGCTCACACCCTGTCTTCACATCGAGACTTACTGACACAGTCTTTACACTACTATAGATTCAGTAGGTACTACTAAAGTCATTGGATACTACTGCAAGAGTCAGTAGTTACTGCTATAGAGTCGGTAGATGCTACTATAGTCGGTAGATACTACCGTAGAGTCGGTAGATACTACTATAGTCAGTAGATAATACTACAATCAGTAGATTCCACTACAGTCAGTAGATACTGCTGCAGAGTCAGTAGTAATGACTATAGAGTCAGCAGATACTACTATAGAGTCTGTAGATACTGCTATAGAGTCTGCAGATACTACTATAGAGTCAGTAGATACTACTATAGAGTCAGTAGATACTACTATAGAGTCTGTAGATACTACTATAGAGTCAGTAGATACTACTCTAGAGTCAGTAGATACTACTATAGAGTCAGTAGATACTACTATAGAGTCAGTAGATACTACTATAGAGTCTGTAGATACTACTATAGATTCAGTAGATACTACTCTAGAGTCAGTAGATACTACTATAGAGTCTGTAGATACTACTATAGAGTCAGTAGATACTACTCTAGAGTCAGTAGATACTACTATAGAGTCAGTAGATACTACTCACTCTATTGTATGGAGGGTGTTTAGGTATATATGCCTATGCGGGGATAAAATTATTTCTTGAGCGAGGGTGGGTCGATAATTTTCGGAAACCTTTTAGATCAACTATTTACCCCCCACTTGCTATAACTTTTTGGACTCCTGCAAACCTCTTATAATTTTGTTGACGGACAAATGGACAGACAAACGGCACGCCGGGCTTTCACAACAGCTTACTATTTGTGTACTCACATGTTATGTTTTTACGAGGGTACTTCTCGCTAATGTATATGAGCATTTTTTAAATTATATTTTAAAGATTCTAGTTCTGATACGAGACGCTGCCGTCGTCCGCAGGGAATGGCCACGTGGGAGCGTCGCTGTTCGGCGGTGGTGGGGCCCTTCAATGCGGAGCTGTGCGAGGTGGCCGCGATGCTGACCCAGCGCTGGGACAAGGCGTTGGTGGGGCCAGCCTGCCTCAGCCGCAGGCTCACGCGGCCGCATCGTGGAGGGGGGGCCGACAACAACGACGAAAAAGAGCAGTGAGTGCGTGGGAGGGAGGGGGCGGGGGTGTCCCAGTAAACAGGTCAACAACGTAGTGGGGGGGGGGCAACGTTGGCCCAGGTAAGGGTCAAAGGTATGGATTAGTGGGGTCAGGGTGCGCGGTTTGGTAGAGTGTAGGCATGGGTCACTAGGGTCAGGGTATGGGTCACTAGGGTTAGGGTATGGGTCGCTAGGGTCAGGGTATGGGTCACTAGGGTCAGGTTATGGGTCGCTAGGGTCAGGATATTGGTCAGCAAGGTCAGGGTATGGATCAGTAGGGTCAGGATATGGGTCGGTAGGGTCAGGGTATGGGTCAGTAGGGTCAGGATATGGGTCAGTATGGTCAGAATATGGGTCACCAGGGTCAGGTTATGGGTGGGTAGGGTCAGGATATGGGTCACCAGGGTCAGGGTACGGGTCAGTAGGGTCAGGGTATGGGGCAGCAGGGTCAGGCTATGGGTCGGTAGGGTCAGGTTATGGGTCCGTAGGGTCGGCGTTCTGTCGCCGGGATCACGGATCTGGATTCCGTGGTGGCGATCAGCAGTGAAGCGTCACCTCGTTAGCGCTGGGCCTGATCCCTCCTCCTCCTTTTCCACCCCCCCTCCCCCTCCAAGGGACGATCTCTCCACACACTTTGCCAACATCGCGCCGTCTCCGGCCGACGCGCTCTTCGCCGTGCTGCGCCACCTGCGCTGGGCGCGCATCGCCGTGGTCACCGTGGAGGTAGCGGCGACGGCGTTGTCCCCCGCGCGGTACACGTGGGCACATTGACAAGGATAAACCTCCACCGCGGACTCATCGTCAAAAAAATTCACTCAACCCCACTCTCCCAGCGGCGGTGGTGGTGTTCGTGGTTGCGGCGGTGTATGTCATGATTGTGTTGGTGGTGGTGATGATTATGATGGTGGTGGTCGTGTCGGTGGTTATTGCTGCTCACTCAGAGGAGGAGCTTGACCTGGAGCGTGCCACTAATAGGTGGGGGCTTTGTCATCAGCCCCGACAAAACGAAGCACCTGCCTGGGTATTTGTACCATCAACCACTCCACCCCCCCTCATCTCCCCAATTGGCGGGGCATTTGTGGAGAGATTAGAGAGGTTTCCGTACCTGGGCAGTGTGCTGATAACCAGCTCCGGTTTGACAACAGAGGTCTCACTCCGAATCAACCGAGCGACATTATCCTTTCATCGTCTGCGTAATGCTGCGTGGGAGCTACCCGGTCTGTCGCTCAACAGCAAGCAACGGCTCTTCTCAGCCACAGTAATGTCGTCCCTTCCCTACGCTTGCGAAACGTGGACCTCCCTAATGGAACGTCTTTGCCGGTTAGAAACATTCAGGCTGGCCTGCCTACGATCCATCCTGGGTTTAACTAGGCTGGATTGTGTGAGGACCTCACAGACCCTCGACAGATGTGGACACAGTCCCATCGGTGAGCTCCACCGGCAGGCAAGACTGTGTTGGCTGGGTCATGTAGCCCACATACCCAGCCACCGCATGCCCAAACAACTTTTGTTCGGCGATACATAGGGTGCTAAACGTGCGCGGCACAGGCTAGTGAAGAGATGGAGTGATGTGGTCCAAGAGGATATGGAACTGACTCGATTTGTCGATGTGGTGGTGGCTGCGCATGTCCTGATCGTGGTGGCTGCGGTGGCTGCGCATGTCGTGATCGTGGAGGTGGTGATGGTGGCTGCGCTTGTCGTGATCGTGGTGGTGGCTGCGTGTGTCGTGATGGTGGTGGATGCACGTGCATCGTGACTGTGCGTGCGTGCAGGCGAGCGAGCAGGGCTCGGCGTTGTGGCGCGGCGCGGCGCGCGAGTTGGTGCGCGCCGTGCGGGCGCGGGGGCTTCCCGTGCTGGAGCTGCCGCCCGTGTCCACGCCTCGCGACGGTCACGGCGGCGGCGGCGGCGGCGGCGGCGGCCACGACCGCGCCCTCTCCATGGCGTCGCGCTTCGGCGCTCGCGGTGAGCGCTGCTCCGCCTCCGCGCGCGGGGCCTGACGGATGTTATCCCCGGTATGCAAGATGTCTATGGGTTTCGATCCCGACCCTTGACCCCTGTTGTACATTTGTATGTGTATGTATGTGTGCATGTATGTGTATGTGTCCTTGACACCAGGACCTACCATGGAGCTGATCTGCCCTCTGATCATCGACTAGTCATCTGTAAGATGCACCTGCCATTCTTCCACTCCGGTGGTGGGTGTACACTCAGGACCCCATTCCAACCTAAAGTGGCCTGGTCTCAGTTATCTGATGAAAGTTGCAAGCGAGAACTTCATCATCGCTTGCGGCTGGGATTGGCATCGTCCCCCACTCCTCCTGATGTCGAGGGTAAATGGGCGAGGTTTAGGACTGTGACTCATGCAGCTGCAATGGCTGCTTTGGGTACGCGGTCCAGACCTCCCCAGAGACCCTGGCTGACAGAGGAGTTGTTCAGGATGGTTGAGAAAAAGCGACAGGCCCACTGTCATCGGCTACAGAATCCCACGTCAGAGAAGGAGGAGGCTTACCGCAGCCTTCGCTCGGAGGTTCGGAGAGCCGTGAGGCGCTGCAAGGATGGGTGGTGGTCGCGGGTTGCTGAGGAAATGGACACATTTATAAATAACGCGATATAACCCAAAAAACCTTTATTATGAATAATATTGGTCGCGAAAGCCTACGTGTTAAACTGAGGAAATGGAGTCTACCTCAGTGGCCCGCGATCACAAATCTCTATTTAACTCCATTAAAAAAGTAACCTGCAGCGCCACACCTATTACCATCATTAGGGGAAAAACGGTGATCCAATCTCCGACCCCCAGGAACAGGTTTTCAGATTTGCTGAGCATTTCTGTGAGGTCCTGGGGGAGGGAAAATCTCTCAGCCAGGAAAACATCTTGGCACAAAGTGAGGATGACCCTGCTGAGGCTGCGGTGCCTCAAATATTGGAAGAAGTCACCCCCTATGAGTGGCTGGCTGAAGTACCATCTGTTGAGGAAGTACTGAAGGCGATCCGGAGTCTGAGAGCAGGAAAGGCAGCGGGCAGAGATGATCTCCCAAGCGAAATGCTGAGGGAGGCTGGCGTTTGTGCACAGACTGCCCTATAATGACATCTGGACCACTGGACGGGTTCCGCAGGTTTGGAAGGATGCCCTGGTGGTCCCCCTCTTTAAGAAGGGGGACCGCACAGACTGTAACAACTGCAGGGGCATCTCACTCCTCAGTGTGCCGGGAAAGGTCCTGGCAAGGATTATTCAACATCGCCTCGCCAGGCACGCTGAGGAGAGGCTTGCAGAGCCCCAATGCGGTTTCAGGAAAGGGCGGTCCTGCACAGATGCCATATTTTCTGTCCGTCTGCTACAGCAGAGGTGTAGGGAATTCCAACAAGACCTACATCTCTGCTTTATTGACCTGGTCAAGGCCTATGATACCATTAGTAGGCCTGGGCTCTGGGTTGTTCTTCGTGCTTTTGGAGTCCCTGACCCTCTGCTCACGATCATTAAGGACCTTCATGATGGTGAACGGGCCCGGGTAAAACTACGTGGCGCGGCACGGGCTAGAGAAGAGATGGAGTGATGTGGTACAGGAGGACGTGGAACTGAGTGGACTTGCCGATGACTGGTACCAGCGGTGTCAAGATCGGCCTCTGTGGAGGAGGCTCGTGAAGGACGCTACTGGGCAGTTGGAGGTAGTCGCCCTCCAACAACAACAGAGGGCGGAGGAGCGACGCTCACAACAACGTGCGGAGTGCCGGGTGGCTAAAGCACAGCAGGTTGGCACAGTAGGGGGCACAGGTGGTGCATCAGCCAGTTATCTCAGTCATCTTAGTCAGTCGTCCCGTGGCACCTGGGTCTGCCCCGTGACCTCCTGCCCGCAGGCGTTTGACACTTCACGTGGCCTCAAGGTGCACATGGCCTGGCACAAGCGTCGTGGTGACGTCACCGCCACTTAGTGGCGAATGGCGGTTGTTGTTGTATGTGTGTGTGTGAATGTGTCTATGATGCACGAGTGACGTCACGGTGGCTATGATGCACGAGTGACGTCACGTTTTAAAACACATTCCTCAAGTTAACGTGAGCTAACTATGCCTGAAGTAGCGTGCTGGACTACGAACCCCGAAGCCCAAGTTCGATTCTCGCTCAAGGCCAACGCCGTTGACGAATGTCTGAACCAGTCCTGGGCCTCTCCAGTTGGCACTGTGCGACGAGTTGCAGGTTCACATCGCTGCTGGGCTCGAGAGCTGCTGGGTTTGGTTTTGAGTTGTGCGATGGCTCGTCTGTACGTATGTACACATGTATGTACACATGTATGTACACATGTATGTATGCTGAACTTCTATCACACCGTACGTGACGTAAACATGCTAATCGGAGGTGCGGAGGTCTAGGGCAACTCCATCTCTGGCTGCACTGCGCACCCAGCAACCCGTGTTCGATTCCCGCTCCCAGGCGAACAACGGTGACGAATATCTGAACTTCCTCCGGATCGATACGGCCTTAAATGAGCACCTGAGTAGTTTGAAGATCATTTCTGTTGAGCATATGGGATGTTTGGCCAATGGCGATTACATTGCGCGTGTGTTTGGGTTTACCTATGCCCGAGCCTCAAGCGAGTCCCTGGCGCGGTGTGTGTAAAACATCGCCACTGGGGAGACAAAGGCGGCCGGGCGTGGTGCTGGCCACCCACACCGTGTGCCGTGCTACTCGCCAACAGCGCTTGCTCCAAACAAGCCCTAGTCGAAGGCTACACGAGGGATCTTTGTCTCTGCGCGCAGCCGTGGTGACCTGCATGCCGTCCGCGCTGATGGGCGGGCGCCCGCACGCCGCTCTCCTGCGGAGCGCCGCGCGTCTCGGTCTGGCCTCGGATCTTGCCTTCATCCCCTACGACGCCATGCTCTACGCGCTGCCCTGGGGACAGCCCGGAGAGGTGGGCAGGCCCCGGCACTCGCGGGCCCGGGGGGCAAACGGGCCACAGCTCGTGGGCCAGAACCGACAACTTGAATTCTTCAAATCACGTGACCCGTGACTCCGTCTCACGCGACCCGTGTCTCCGTCTCACGCGACCCGTGACTCCGTCTCACGTGACCCGTGACTCCATCTCACGTGACCCGTGTCTCCGTCTCACGCGACCCGTAACTCCATCTCACGCGACCCGTGACTCCGTCTCACGTGACCCGTGTCTCCGTCTCACGTGACCCGTGACTCCATGTCACGTGACCCGTGACTCCATGTCACGTGACCCGTGACTCCGTCTCACGTGACCCGTGACTCCGTCTCACGTGACCCGTGACTCCATCTCACGTGACCCGTGACTCCATCTCACGTGACCCGTGACTCCATCTCACGTGTGTAGTGGGTTCCAGGACACGGAGACGGTAGAGTAGAGGCAGCACTATTTATTGAACAAGGGGGTCACACTGGAAGGGGTAGCGGCCCCTTCACCCGTATACACTCAGGAATAACCCCAGGCTATCTAGCCTAAGCTCTAGGCTCCCGATTCCTCCGACTATAGGCGCTAGAGGAGCCTATCTGATCTGGCCCTGGTCAGACACAGATCTCGGCACCCCACCAACCAGACCGGCCCTTAAAAGGACTCCGGCTCTGGGGCTCTGGGGCCGCACCACTGGCTTGCTGTACCGGCCCTGAAAAGGGCAGCGGTCACAGGAGTCCCAGGGTCTATCCTAGCCGGCCTTCCTTCTTCACTGGCGCTTCAGTCTTGGCCCCAACACACTGCCCCGAGCTCTCTGGTTCCCCGCCCTTTGTACCCACTGAGGGTGGAGCCATAGCGGACGTGGTTGTAGCCACCAAGGTGTGGGTGTGCCACACCTTCCCACACCGTGTGTTTCTTCCCCATAGCACCTCTACACGTGACCCGTTACTCCATGTCACGTGACCCGTGACTCCATCTCACATGACCCATGACTCCATCTCACGTGACCCGTGACTCCGTCTCACGTGACCCGTGACTCCGTCTCACGTGACCCGTGACGCCATGTCATGTGACCCGTAACTCTGTCTCACGTGACCTGTGACTCTGTCTCACGCGGCCCGTGACTCCGTCTCACGTGACCCATGACTCCATCTCACATGACCCGTGACTCCATCTCACGGGTCACGTGACTCCGTCTCACGTGACCCGTGACTCCATCTCACACGGCCCGTGACTCCATCTCACGTGACCCGTGACTCTGTCTCACGTGACCCGTGACTCCGTCTCACGTGACCCGTGATTCCATCTCACGTGACCCGTGACTCAATGTCACGTGACCCGTAACTCCGTCTCACATGACCCGTGACTCCATGTCACGTGACCCGTGACTCCGTCTCACGTGACCCGTGACTCTGTCTCACGTGACCCGTGACTCCATGTCACGTGACCCGTAACTCTGTCTCACGTGACCTGTGACTCCGTCTCACGTGACCCATGACTCCATCTCACGTGACCCGTGACTCCATCTCACGTGTCACGTGACTCCGTCTCACGTGACCCGTGACTCCATCTCACACGGCCCGTGACTCCGTCTCACGTGACCCGTGATTCCATCTCACGTGACCCGTGATTCCATCTTACGTGACCCGTGACTTCGTCTCACGCGACCCGTAACTCCGTCTCACGTGACCTGTGACTCCGTCTCACGTGACCCATGACTCCATCTCACGCGACCCGTGACTCCGTCTCACGTGACCCATGACTCCATCTCACACGGCCCGTGACTCCGTCTCACGCGACCTGTGACTCCGTCTCACGTGACCCGTGACTTCGTCTCACGTGACCCGTAACTCTATCTCACGCGACCTGTGACTCCGTCTCACGCGACCCGTAACTCCATCTCACGTGACCTGTAACTCCATCTCACGTGACCTGTGACTCCGTCTCACGTGACCCGTGACTCCGTCTCACGTGACCCGTGATTCCATCCTACGTGACCCGTGACTCCGTCTCACGTGACCCGTGACTTCGTCTCACGCGACCCGTAACTCCGTCTCACGTGACCCGTGACTCCATCTCAGCTGTACATATTTCCTACAATCAAGGCGTCACAAGGCATGATACATTCAGCATCTCGATGGTATACACGAACCTGTATCATCAGCCATTGTCTATCAACTGCTGGACAAATGCTACCCCAAGCCATCGGCACGCATCAAGGTCCCGTGATGCACACGAGGAGCCGATTGTGTCCCCTGGGATGTGGCTCAGTAGTTTAAGGGCGCCGTGGTGGTGAGATGTTATCTCCCTCGCCTGGTATACAGGAGGTCGTGGGTTTTGTCCCGTGGTCGCGTGGATTTTTGTCCAGGTCCTCCGGTTTTTCACTCCACATTTAGTATCAACGTCACCACGCGTTTAGAGTATTTGGCTGCTTTAAATGTATACATGGTGATTAAGTCGTGAGTGAGTGGTGAATGAGGGTGGTGAGTGAGTGGTGAGAGAAGATGGTGAGTGATTGTTGAGGGTGGTGAGAAAGTGGTGAGTGAGGGTGGTGAGTGAGTGGTGAGTAAGGGTGGTGAGTAAGGATGGTGAGTTAGTGGTGAGTGAGTGGTGAGTAAGGGTGGTGAGTGAGTGGTGAGTGAGAGTGGTGAGTGAGTGGTGAGTAAGGGTGGTGAGTAAGGATGGTGAGTTAGTGGTGAGTGAGTGGTGAGTAAGGGTGGTGCGTGAGTGGTGAGTAAGGGTGGTGAGTGAGTGGTGAGTAAGGGTGGTGAGTAAGGGCGGTGAGTAAGGGTGGTGAGTGAGTGGTGAGTAAGGGTGGTGAGTGAGTGATGAATGAGTGGTGAGTAAGGGTGGTGAGTGAGTGGTGAGTAAGGGTGGTGAGTGATTGGTGAGTGAGTGATAAGTAAGGGTGGTGAGTGAGTGGTGAGTGAGTGGTGAGTGAGTGGTGAGGGTGGTGAGTGAGTGGTGAGTGAGTGGTGAGTGAGTGTTGAGGGTGGTGAGTGAGTGGTGAGTGAGTGGTGAGTGAGTGATGAGTAACGGCGGTGAGTAAGGGTGGTGAGTGATGAGTGAGTGGTGAGTAAGGATGGTGAGTGAGTGGTGAGTGAGTGGTGAGTGAGTGATGAGTAACGGCGGTGAGTAAGGGTGGTGAGTGGTGAGTGAGTGGTGAGTAAGGGTGGTGAGTGAGTGGTGAGTGAGTGGTGAGTAAGGGCGGTGAGTAAGGGTGGTGAGTGAGTGGTGAGTAAGGGTGGCGAGTGAGTGGTGAGTAAGCGTGGTGAGTGAGTGGTGAGTGAGTGGTGAGTGAGTTGTGAGTGAGTGTTGAGGGTGATGAGTGAGTGATGAGTGAGTGGTGAGGGTGGTGAGTGAGTGGTGAGTGAGTGTTGAGGGTGGTGAGTGAGTGGTGTGAGTGAGTGGTGAGTAACGGCGGTGAGTAAGGGTGGTGAGTGAGTGGTGAGTAAGGGTGGTGAGTGAGTGGTGATGATTGGTGAGTGAGTGGTGAGTGAGTGGTGAGTAAGGGTGGTGAGTGAGTGGTGAGTGAGTGAGTGGTGAGTGGTGAGTGTTGAGGATGGTGAGTGAGTGGTGAGTGAGTGGTGAGTGAGTGTTGAGGGTGGTGAGTGAGTGGTGAGTGAGTGGTGAGTGAGTGAGTGGTGAGTGAGTGGTGAGTAAGGGTGGTGAGTGAGTGAGTGGTGAGTGAGTGGTAAGGGTGGTGAGTGATTGGTGAGTGAGTGGGTGAGTGGTGAGTGAGTGGTGAGTGAGTGGTGAGTAAGGGTGGTGAGTGAGTGAGTGGTGAATGAGTGAGTGGTGAGTGAGTGGTGAGTAAGGGTGGTGAGTGAGTGGTGAGTGAGTGAGTGGTGAGTAAGGGTGGTGAGTGAGTGGTGAGTGAATGAGTGAGTGGTGAGTGAGTGGTGAGTGAGTGGTGAGTAAGGGTGGTGAGTGAGTGGTGAGTGAGTGGTGAGTGAGTGGTGAGTAAGGGTGGTGAGTGAGTGGTGAGTGAGTGGTGAGTGAGTGGTGAGTGAGTGGTGAGTAAGGGTGGTGAGTGAGTGGTGAGTGACTGGTGAGTAAGGGTGGTGAGTGGTGAGTGAGTGATTGGTGAGTGAGTGGTGAGTGTGGTGAGTGAGTGAGTGGTGAGTGAGTGGTGAGTGAGTGAGTGAGTGGTGAGTGAGTGGTGAGTGAGTGGTGAGTGAGTGAGTGAGTGGTGAGTGAGTGGTGAGTGAGTGAGTGGTGAGTGAGTGGTGAGTGAGTGAGTGGTGAGTGAGTGAGTGGTGAGTGAGTGGTGAGTGAGTGAGTGAGTGGTGAGTGAGTGGTGAATGAGTGAGTGGTGAGTGAGTGAGTGGTGAGTGAGTGGTGAGTGAGTGAGTGAGTGGTGAGTGAGTGGTGAGTGAGTGGTGAGTGAGTGAGTGAGTGGTGAGTGAGTGAGTGGTGAGTGAGTGAGTGAGTGGTGAGTGAGTGGTGAGTGAGTGGTTGGTGAGTGAGTGGTTGGTGAGTGGTGAGTGAGTGGTCAGTGAGTGAGTGGTGAGTGAGTGGTGAGTGAGTGGTGAGTGAGTGAGTGCTGAGTGTGTGGTGAGTGAGTGGTGAGTGAGTGAGTGGTGAGTGAATGGTGAGTGAGTGGTGAGTGAGTGAGTGAGTGGTGAGTGAGTGGTGAGTGAGTGGTGAGCGTGTGGTGAGTGAGTGAGTGGTGAGTGAGTGAGTGGTGAGTGAGTGAGTGGTGAGTAAGTGGTGAGTGGTGAGTGAGTGAGTGAGTGGTGAGTGAGTGGTGAGTGGTGAGTGAGTGGTGAGTGAGTGGTGAATGAGTGGTGAGTGAGTGAGTGGTGAGTGGTGAGTGGTGAGTGAGTGAGTGGTGAGTGAGTGGTGAGTGTGGGTGAGTGAGTGGTGAGTGAGTGGTGAGTGGTGAGTGAGGGAGTGGTGAGTGAGTGGTGAGTGAGTGGTGAGTGCGTGAGTGGTGAGTGAGTGGTGAGTGAGTGAGTGGTGAGTGAGTGGTGAGTGAGTGGTGAGTGAGTGAGTGGTGAGTGAGTGGTGAGTGAGTGAGTGGTGAGTGAGTGGTGAGTGAGTGAGTGGTGAGTGAGTGGTGAGTGAGTGAGTGGGTGGTGAGTGAGTGGTGAGTGAGTGAGTGGTGAGTGAGTGGTGAGTGAGTGGTGAGTGGCGAGTGGTGAGTGAGTAGTGAGTGAGTGGTGAGTGAGTGGTGAGTGAGTGAGTGGTGAGTGAGTGGTGAGTGAGTGGTGAGTGAGTGAGTGAGTGGTGAGTGAGTGGTGAGTGAGTGGTGAGTGAGTGAGTGGTGAGTGAGTGGCGAGTGAGTGGTGAGTGAGTGAGTGGTGAGTGAGTGGTGAGTGGTGAGTGAGTGAGTGGTGAGTGGTGAGTGAGTGAGTGGTGAGTGAGTGGTGAGTGAGTGGTGAGTGGTAAGTGAGTGGTGAATGAGTGGTGAGTGAGTGAGTGGTGAGTGAGTGGTGAGTAAGTGGTGAGTGGTGAGTGAGTGGTGAGTGAGTGGTGAGTGAGTGAGTGGTGAGTGAGTAGTGAGTGGTGAGTGAGTGGTGAGTGAGTGGTGAGTGAGTGGTGAGTGAGTGGTGAGTGGTGAGTGAGTGGTGAGTGAGTGAGTGGTGAGTGGTGAGTGAGTGGTGAGTGAGTGGTGAGTGGTGAGTGAGTGGTGAGTGAGTGGTGAGTGAGTGGTGAGTGAGTGGTGAGTGGTGAGTGAGTGGTGAGTGAGTGGTGAGTGAGTGGTGAGTGTGTCTCTCAGGCGGACTCAGGCCCAGTGCCCGCTCTGGTCGATGACCCGGCGCTGCGTCGCGCATATGCCGGGGTCGTGACCGTGACCCGCGCCTTGACCCCTGACCTCCGTGACGCGGCGCAACTCCAGCCCAAGCAGGTGAGGCCAGAAACTCAGCAGCAGCATCGTCATCAAAGTCATCATCACCATCACTGTCATTATGATCGTAATCAACATGATCATTAATGTTATCATTATCCTAATCAACGTCATCATCATCATCACTTTCGTTATGATCGTATTCAACGTCATCATCATTGTCATCATGATCGTAATCAAGGTGATCATCATCAATATCATGATCCTAATCAACGTCATCATCATCATCGCTGTCACAATGATCGTAATCAACGTGACCATCATCAATATCATGATCCTAATCAACATCATCATCGCTGTCCTTTCTTGCTGCGACGCTTCCTCCACCATCCTCATCCCATCCCATCCTCATCCCATCCCCATCCCATCCCCGCTCCATCCCATCCCCATCCCCATCCCATCCCCATCCCATCCTCATCCCATCCTCATCCCATCCCCATCCCATCCCCGCTCCATCCCATCCCCATCCCATCCCCATCCCATCCTCATCCCATCCTCATCCCATCCCCATCCCATCCTTGCCCCATCCCATCCCCATCCCATCCCCGCTCCATCTCATCCCCATCCCATCCTCATCCCATCCTCATCCCATCCCCATCCCATCCTTGCCTCATCCCATCCCCATCCCATCCCCATCCCATCCCCATCCCATCCCCGCTCCATCCCCGCCCCATCCGCCTTCCTGAACCCCACCACCGCCGTGCCGCCCGCAGGCCTCGCCGCTCTTCGGCACCGTCTACGCCTCGGTGCTGCAGGTGGCGCGCGGCCTCGCCAGGACGCGCGCGCACCGCGGGTGGATCTCTGGCGCCAACGTGGCGCTCAACTCCCGCCACGAGCACGGCAGCGCCGCGGCCGCCGGCAACGCCAGCTACGTGGTGCTGGTGGCCGACGGCCGCTCGCCAGACCTGCGCGCGGCCCTGGCCGTGCTCCCCTGGGCCCACGGGGCCGGCCGCCAGCGGCGCCTGGCGGTGGCGCGCGCCCCGGGAGGCGCCGCCCTCGCCGTGTCGCCCGGCACCGACCCCTACTGCTGGTTCGACGACGACGAGTTGGGCTGCTCCGGGGTGAGGAGGAGGAGGGTGGTGGGGGGGAGGAGGATGGGGGGGGGTGGTGGGGAGGAGGGTGGTGGGGGTGAGGAGGGTGGTGGTGGGGGTGAGGATGGGGGGGGGGAGATAAGTATGATGATGGGGATGATGATGGGGGTGGGGATGGGGGTGAGGATGATGATGGGGATGAGGGTGGGGATGATGATGGGGATGATGATGGGGATGATGATGGGGGTGGGGATGGGGGTGAGGATGATGATGGGGATGAAGGTGGGGATGATGATGATGGGGATGAGGATGGGGGGGAGGATGGGGGTGAGGATGATGATGAGAGGGCTTATCATGTGTAAATGTAGCTCATTATAGCGGCCACGTTACTAAATGTGGAAGGAAAAACCGGAGGACCCGGAGACAAATCCACTCCACCACGGGGCGAGAGAGAGAGACACACAAACTCCAAATATACAGCAGCAGCAGTAGCAGGCGTCAGGGTCGGGATCAAACCCACCGACCTCCTGCACACCAGGCGAGGTAGTTAACATCTCATTACGATCGCTGTGACCGTGATTGCTCTGCGTGCTGCAGGAATGGATCTGCCGTACCTGCTGTCGGTATTGTTGATCATCACGGGCTGCCTCAGCGGAATTACTGGACTCGCTGTGCTCCTCAGGTATTGGGGAAGGGGGGTGCGGTGGGGGGGGGCGTCCGCTGTACGAGGTCTGCGATTGAGAGAGCAACCCTTGACTTGGGTTGGGATTAGAACGCCTTGCCGCGACACAGTGGCGGCAGACAATCTGTCGCTCACGTGGCCACGACGGCGCTGTTGGCGAAGGCACCGAGAGCTCTCTGTCTCTCTCTCTATCTCTCTGTCTCTCTCCCTGTCTCTATGCCTCTCTGTCTCTCTATCTCTCTGTCTCTCTCTCTATCTCTATCCCTCTGTCTCTCTCTCTCTATCTCTATCCCTCTCTGTCTCTATCTCTCTGTCTCTCTCTCTATATCTCTGTCTCTCTATCTCTCTGTCTCTCTATCTCTCTCTATCTCTATCCCTCTCTATCTCTCTCTCTATCTCTCTGTCTCTCTATCTCTCTGTCTCTCTATCTCTCTGTCTCTCTCTATCTCTTTCCCTCTCTGTCTCTATCTCTCTATCTCTCTGTCTCTCTATCTCTCTCTCTCTATCTCTATCCCTCTCTGTCTCTATCTCTCTGTCTCTCTGTATCTCTCTGTCTCTCTCTCTATATCTCTGTCTCTCTATCTCTCTGTCTCTCTCTATCTCTCTGTCTCTCTATCTCTCTCTATCTCTATCCCTCTCTATCTCTCTCTCTATCTCTCTATCTCTCTGTCTTTCTCTCTATCTCTATCCCTCTATATCTCTCTGTCTCTATCTCTCTGTCTCTCTCTCTATCTCTCTGTCTCTCTATCTCTCTGTCTCTCTCCCTGTCTCTATCCCTCTGTACTAGCGTGGATGGAACCCTCGTGTTCACCTTCTGAAGCGCTCGCTCGTCACCGTGGCGTTGCCGAATGACCACCACCACCACAACCACCGACACCACCACCACAACCACCAACACCACCACAACCACCAACACCACCACAACCACCACCACGTGACTTTTCTTTCGTGTTGTGCGCGGTGCTTTTTAGCGCCACAGCGCGTGGATTTGTAACGTTTGTTTATTTGTGTTGCTGGTGACTTTGTGTGTTTCATATCGAAATCGCCTCCAGTGCTTTTGCTGCTGGCGGCAATAAAAAGTTGTTCAAAAGTCAAAAGTCTATCTCTCTGTCTCTCTCTCTGTCTCTCTCTCTATCTCCCACTCTTTATCTCTCTGTCTCTATTTCTCTGTATCTCTCTATCTCTGTCTCTCTATCGATCTCTCTCTATCGCTCACTCTTTATCTCTCTCTGTCTCTATCTCTCTGTATCTCTCTCGATCTCTATCTCTCTGTCTCTCTATCTCTCTCTATCTCTCTGTATCTATCTATCTCTCTCTATCTCTCACTCTTTATCTCTCTGTCTATATCTCTCTGTATCTCTCTGTATCTCTCTGTCTCTCTATCTCTCTCTATCGATCTCTCTCTATCGATCTCTCTATCTCTCTCTATCTCTCACTCTTTATCTCTCTCTGTCTCTATCTCTCTGTATCTCTCTCGATCTCGATCTCTCTCTATCTCTATCTCTCTGTCTCTCTATCTCTCTATATCGATCTCTCTATCTCTATCTCTCTATCGATTTCTCTATCGATTTCTCTATCTATCTCTCTCTATCGATTTCTCTATAGATTTCTTTATCGATCTCTCTATCTCTCTCTATCGATCTCTCTCTGAAGCGCTCGCTCGTCACCGTGGCGTGCGCGATGACCACCATCACCACGACCACGTGGCTTTTATTTCGTCTTGTGCGCGGTGCATTTAGCGTCACAACGCGTGGATTTACAGCGTTTGTTTATTTGTGTTGCTGGTGACTTTGTGTGTTTCATATCGGAATCGCCTCCAGTGCTGTTGCTGCTGGCGGCAATAAAAAGTTGTTTAAAAGTCAAAAGTCTATCTCTCTCTCTTCTATCCAACGAACGCGTCCCCGCCTGGACCGTCACGTGTTTCCCCCTCCAGGCGGCGGCTGCAGCAGCAGTTGGACCAAAGCCACAACAAACTGATCCTCACCCTGGAGCACCTCGTCTTCATCCTGCCCCAGCTCAGCCGCAAGGTGCGGACGTCCCAGTGCTCCGTAGGGGGGAGAGGGGGAGGAGGGGGTGGAGGAGGTTGTGGTCGTGATGGAGCCACCCGCCACCCTGCCCGGTTGTGGCGCAGCGAGAGGCGAGATGCGGTGGCTAGGAGATGTTCACTACCTCCTCTGGTCTACGGGAGGTCGTGGGTTCGATCCGGTGGCTAGGAGATGTTCACTACCTTCTCTAGTCTACGGGAGGTCGTGGGTTCGATCCGGTGGCTAGGAGATGTTCACTACCTTCTCTGGTCTACGGGAGGTCGTGGGTTCGATCCGGTGGCTAGGAGATGTTCACTACCTCCCCTGGTCTACGGGAGGTCGTGGGGTCGATCCGGTGGCTAGGAGATGTTCACTACCTCCTCTGGTCTATGGGAGGTCGTGGGTTCGATCCGGTGGCTAGGAGATGTTCAGTACCTCCTCTGGTCTACGGGAGGTCGTGGGTTCGATCCGGTGGCTAGATGTTCACTATCTCCTCTGGTCTATGGGAGGTCGTGGGTTCGATCCGGACCCTGACGCCTGCTGTAGATTTGGAGTTTGCATATTCACTCTCTCCCCCGTGGAGTCTTCTCCGGATCGCCCAGTTGTTCCCTTCCACGTTTAGAATCAGCATCACGCCTTTAGAGCTAATGGCCGCTCTACATTTCCACGTGATGAGCCACTTCGCTGAGCGAACCATTCATGATGGGCCAGGTCGCTTCTGAAAAACGGCTCGACAGCTCAGCTGGGCCTTACCCGGGGGGAGGGAGGGGTCTGCGCTCCGTGCAGTGTAATTGTGCGTGCGTGCACGTGCGTTGAACTTCTTTCGCACCCTAACGCAGCCAACCATGCTGATCGGAGGTGCCGTGCGTCGTGCGGTGTTTTGTGCGGTGCCCTGTGCGGCGTGGGGTGCGCGGTGCGGTGTCAATGTGTGGCGACGCGCTCTGGTTTGGTGTGGGGTGCGCGGCGCAGTTTGTGGACGAGAGCCGCATGAGCCAGGTGAACCGCAGCATGTCGGAGGTGAACAGCGTCAGCCACGCCGCACGCAACTCCGTGTCGGGGCGCAGCCTCCACACGGCGTCGCCGGAGACGACCAACATCGCCGTCTACGAGGTGAGACACGGGGACGCGGATATACATGGGGAGACACGGGGGCATGGGGAGACACGGGGACGCGGATATACATGGGGAGACACGGGGGCATGGGGAGACACGGGGGCATGGGGAGACACGGGGGCATGGGGAGACACGGGGGCATGGGGAGACACGGGGGCATGGGGACAGTGAGACACGGGAGGACACGGAGACACTGGGGGCACACGGAGAGACACGGGGACGTGGAGATACGGGGGGGGGGGGGTGGGACACACAGGGAGACACGGGGGCGTGGGGACACGGAGATATGGGGGGGGGGACTCGTGGGTAAAGGGGGAGGATCACGGGGACAAAAGTACATGGGGACTCAGAGACAAGGGGTTACACGGGGAGACACATAGACACGGGGGGGGGGGCGACTCATGGGGGGGGGGACACGGGTTTGACACAGGAGGATACGGGGACACGGAGACTCGGGGGTCATGCGGACACGGAGAGATGGGGACGGACGCAGGGAGGTGCGTGTAGACACCGCGTAGACGCGGCGTGTCGTCTGTGCGTGCGTCTGCAGGGCGACTGGGTTTGGCTCAAGCGGCTCCCGAGCGGCATCTTCGGCGACTTCAAGCCCCGCGTGCGCTCCACGTTCCGCAAGGTGCGCCGGTGACACGGCGGCCCCGGAGGTTCGCGGTTCGAATCCGGCAGGCCGCCCTAGGTTAATACGCCGCCGTGGCGAGATGTCAACGATCTCACCTTGTATACAGGAGGTCGTGGGCTCGATCCTGTCCCTGACGCCTGCTGTATATGTGGAGTTTGCGTGTCTCTCTCTCTCTCTCTCCCCGTCCTCTGGTTTTTCCCTCCACGTTTATGAACGACATCACACGTGTCAGAGTCTTTGGCCGCTACACAATCCCACGTGATGATGACGAGCCACTTCGTCGAGCTGTCATTTGTGATGGACAGGTCGCTTCTGAAAACGGGCTGCGCAGCTCAGAGGGCCTTGCCTGGCAAAAGTAAAATAACAAAAATACTTTAGTTGAGTTTAATACTGCGACGAACGTCAAAGATCCCCGTGACGTCGTTCGCAAGAGCAGAGCCGTCGCGCGCCAGACGCATTTCGAGAAACGCCACCGCGAGCGCCTCTCGACTGGGACCCCGCGCCCACCCCCCCCCCCCCGTACCCCCGTACCCCCCCCCCAGAATTCCGCGACACGACCGCAGGCTGCGTCCGTGAAACGCAAGCGACGGCCGTGCGCTCGGAGAAACGCGCCAGAGCAGGGGTCGGCAGCCAAAACCACAACAGCAAACAACAACACCAATTCGGTAAAACAAAACCAAAAAAACACCCATCCACCGCAATATTCCAGGAGGCGAAACATCCCTGAATAGAGAACGAAGCGCGGTCCTCGATGAGGCGCACGCTGCTCCGGAGCCGCGGGTTCCCCACCCCTGCCCATGGTGAACTTGGGGACTTCCATGGCTTTGGCGGTTGGCAAACCCAAATTTAAACAAGAAGAGGCAAGTTTTATTCCGTTCGAATTTCAAGAGCCGCACCGCGGTCCTCAAAGAGGCAGCCCTGCGTTCGGCGGTCGTCGTCGTCGTCGTCGCCGCCATCGTCGCCGCGTCTCGTTGCGTGGCGTCGCTCACGTGTCCTCGTCGCGTCCTCGTCGCGTCCAGCTGCGAGAGATGCGTCACGAGAACGTGAACCCGTTCATCGGCGTGTTCGTCGACTGCGGCGTCTGCGCCATCGTGACGGAGCACGGGGCCCGCGGCAGCCTCGAGGACCTGCTGCAGAACCAGGACACCAAACTCGACTGGATGTTCAAGTCCTCGCTCATGACCGACCTCATCAAGGTGACGACCTCCCTCCCACCCCCGCGCCGAGCGCGACCACGCGTGACCCCTCGCGATTCGACGCCGGCCGCCGCTGCCGCCGTGGCGGTGTGCGGTGTGGCGACTCGCTGGCCACCCGCCCTGCCGGCCTTCACAAGTGCTGCTCGCTAACAGCACTTGCCCCAAAAGTCTGTTAAGGCTTTACGGGGGATCTTTGTCTTTTGTGTGTGTCGGTGTGTGTGTGTCGGTGTGTGGGCAAGGTCCCATCGGTGAGCTCCTCCGGCAGGCAAGGCTGCGTTGGCTGGGTCATGTAGCCCGCATGCCCAGCCACCGCATGCCGAAACAGCTTTTGTTCGGCCGGATCGAGGGGGCTAGACGGGCGCGGCACGGGCTAGAGAAGAGATGGAGTGATGTGGTACAGGAGGACGTGGAGCTGAGTGGTCTGGCCGATGACTGGTTCCAGCGGTGTCAAGATCGGCCTCTGTGGAGGAGGCTCGTGAAGGACGCTATTGGGCAGTTGGAAACACAGCAGGTTGGCACAGTAGGGGGCACAGGTGGTGCACCAGCCAATCATCTCAGTCAGTCGACCCGTGGCACCTTGGTCTGCCCCGTGACCTCCTGCCCGCGGGCGTTCGACACTTCACGTGGTCTCAAGGTGCACATGGCGTGGCACAAGCGTTGTGGTGACGTCACCGCCACTTAGTGGCGAATGGCGGTTGTTGTTGTTGTTGTGTCGTGCTGGTCCCCCTCTTTAAGAAGGGGGACCGCACAGACTGTAACAACTACAGGGTCATCTCACTCCTCAGTGTGCCGGGAAAGGTCATGGCAAGGATTATTCAACATTGCCTTGCCAGGCCCGCTGAGGAGAGGCTTGCGGAGCCCCAATGCGGTTTCAGGAAAGGGCGGTCCTGCACAGATGCCATATTTTCTGTCCATCTGCTACAGCAGAGGTGTAGGAAATTCCAGCAAGACCTACATCTCTGCTTTATTGACCTGGTCAAGGCCTATGATACCATCAGTAGGCCTGGGCTCTGGGTTGTTCTTCGTGCTTTTGGAGTCCCTGACCCTCTGCTCACGATCATTAAGGACCTTCATGATGGTGAGCGGGCCCGGGTAAAACTACGTGGCCGGGAGTCAGAGCCATTCCCTGTACACCTTGGGGTGCGACAGGGATGTCCTCTGGCTCCCACATTATTTAACATCTATTTTGACCACGTAGTTCATGAAGCCTTCAATAGCTGTACCGGGGGAATCTCCATTTGGTACAGATATAATGGGAGGCTGATCGATGCCCGGGTGTGGTCAAGGGATGGCTCCCTATTGTTCAACCACGTTATGTATGATGGTTCAGTGAGCCACTCTGTCTACAGGAAAGCTACCCATACAGATGCTTACTTGAAACCGGATTCCCACGACCATCCATCCCAGAAGAACTCCCTCATCAAGACTCTATACCATAGAGCCCAATGCATTTCCGACCAGGAACACATTACCAGTGACCTCAAGCACGTACACCAGGCTCTCAGGGCTAATGGTTACTCCGACTACACAATCCGCAAAGCCATCACTCCAGTCATGAAGAAGGATCCTCTTGTGAAGCCACTCAAAACCATCACCTTACCCTACATTGCAGGGGTCACTAAAAAGATCTCCAAAATCCTGAATAAACACAAGATCCAGGTCTGATTCAACACAATACATAAATCCGTGATCTAGTTCAATCTGTAAAATATGCTATTCCCGACATACAGTAGCCGGGCATTTACAAACTAAAGTGCCTCTGTGGTAGTAGCTACATTGGAGAAACCAAACGACATATCTCGGACCGCATCCGCGAATATAAAGCAGACTTGAAACACGGTAGAACGAACTCCTCTACCGTGGCAGATCACTGTTATAATTCAGTGGGCTCACATGACATTGACTTCTCCAAGACAGAGGTTCTTTGCAAACCAACCGGCTACCATGAGAGATTCGTTAATGAGGCCATTCACATATACAAGCACAGAGACAATGTCAACCGAGAAGATGGATTCTGGCTTAGTAACCATTGGAAAGATGTTTTAAACCATTTCCATTCTTAATTAATTGTATTTTACGATGACCTTCAGACCGCAGCTCTTTCGCTGGCATTGACTCTTAATACCTCTCACACCACGGTTAATGGTATGGTTTACAACATGGAGTATAACAGCGCCTTGCAGCTGTCTCTCTCCCCCTCCTCTGTTCCGAGTTATTTCAATGCTAAATTCTCCTAGTTATTTCAATGCTAAATTCTCCTGTTTGATTTGTTCTAGGTGCCTCTGTGAATGTGTATGCTCTGACTTTAACATAGCTATTTCTGTGACCAGTCACAAGCTAATCACTCATCTATTTCAATGCTAAATTCTATGCTAATGCCTTTGTCAAGGGGTGCCTCTGTGGATGTGCATGCTTTAACTTTAACATAGCCATTTCTGTGACCAGTCACAAGCTAATCACTCAGCTATTTCAATGCTAAATTCTATGCTAATTCCTTTGTCAAGGCGCTTTGTTTCTTCTCACACAGTTTAAAGGTCGCGATCTGAGCATGGCTTTTTCGCTCCAGTGCTGTCCTCCAGACAGTCTCGTCCCTTCACCTTATGAAGGCCGCTTGTGTTGTGGCCGAAACGTCATGAGAATTTTATTGTGTTATTTTATTTTATCAATTTATTATTTTATTCTCATTCTACGTGACTTTACCGAAAGAACCAAAGAACACGTTATGTATGCCGATGATTTGGTAATAGCTGCTCATTCAGAGGAGGAGTTGGAGACACTGCTGCTGAGACTGGAGCGTGCCACTAAGAGATGGGGCCTTACCATCAGCCCCACCAAAACTAAGCACCTGCCTGGGTATTTTGTACCATCGGACACTCCACCCCCACAACTCCCAATCGGTGATGGGGCAGTTGTGGAGAGAGTGGAGAGTTTCCCCATACCTGGGCAGTGTGCTTATGACCGGCTCCAGTTTAACAGCAGAGGTCTCACTCCGAATCAGTCGAGCGGTTAATATCTTTTCATCGGTTGCGTAACGCTGTGTGGAAGCTGCCTGGTCTGTAGCTCCACACTAAGCTTCAGGTCTTCTCGGCCACGGTCATTCCCTCCCTTCTCTACGCTTGCGAAACGTGGACCCCCCTAATGGAACATCTTCGCCGGTTAGAAACATTTAGGCTAGCCTGCCTACGATCCATCCTGGGTTTAACCAGGCTGGATTGTGTGAGGAGCTCACACATTTTTGAAAGATCTGGGCAAGGTCCCATCGGTGAGCTCCTCCGGCAGGCAAGGCTGGGTCATGTAGCCCGCATGCCCAGGCACCGCATGCCGAAACAACTTTTGTTCGGCCGGATCGAGGGGACTAAACGGGCGCGGCACGGGCTAGAGAAGAGATGGAGTGATGTGGTACAGGAGGACGTGGAGCTGAGTGGACTTGCCGATGACTGGTACCAGCGATGTCAAGATCGGCCTCTGTGGAGGAGGCTCGTGAAGGACGCTACTGGGCAGTTGGAGGTAGTCGCCCTCCAACAACAACGGAGGGCGGAGGAGCGACGCTCACAACAACGAGCGGAGTGCTGGGTGGCTAAAGCACAGCAGGTTGGCACAGTAGGGAGCACAGGTGGTGCATCAGCCAGTCATCTCAGTCATCTTAGTCAGTCGACCCGTGGCACTTGGGTCTACCCCGTGACCTCCTGCCCGCGGGCGTTCGACACTTCACGTGGCCTCAAGGTGCACATGGCCTGGCACAAGCGTCGTGGTGACGTCACTGCCACTTAGTGGCGAATGGCAGTTGTTGTTGTTGTGTCGTGGGGAGCGGTAGTGTAGTGGTTAGCGCGCTGCGCTTCGAACCTGGCGACCCGGGTTCGATTACTGCCCACGGCCAACACCAGTGACGATTATCTGAACCGATCCTGGGCCTCCCCTAGGTCGACTCAGCGTCAAATGAGTACCTGGTGCGGTGCAGTAAACATCGCCACTGGAGAGACAAAGGCTACCGGGCGTGGTGCTGGCCACCCACCCCTTCGTGTACCGTGCCGGCCTTGAAAGGTGCTCGCTAACGGCACTTGCCCCTACAGTCTGTTAAGGCTACACGGGGAATCTTTGTCTTTGTGCGTGTGTGTCCATGTGCGTTTGTGGCCGCGGCAGGGCATGAAGTACCTGCACCATCACGAGCTGGTGCACGGGCGGCTCAAGTCGCGCAACTGCGTGGTGGACGGCCGCTTCGTGCTCAAGGTCACCGACCAGAGCTACTGCGAGCTCAGCCAGTTGCTGCAGGTCACCGCGGAGGAGCCTACGCCCGACGGTGAGGCAGCGCCACCACCGCCACCACCGCCACCGACATCACCCGCCCCGCCGCCATCACCAACGTCAACACCATCATCATCATTGAGATCGCCAACATCGGAATCGGAACATTCATTTATACTGGAGGAATCCGATGAGCTATAAAGCTCTTTTTCACAGATATCCAGTCGGGGCGGGTAAGAACGCCACAACAACAAACAATAACAACAACACGATAGTAGTGCAAAGTACAAGAAAGGTAAAGAAATCACCCAACACACAAACAAATACAACAACTAAACCATCTCCCATCCTACCAGGCAAAGCCCACTGAGGTATTTACTTATTTTTCAAAATCGACCTGGCCACAAATATTAGCTCAGCAAAACGGCTTATCACTTGGACATTTATACGGGCAAGATAATCGAAATAGTCTCAGTGAATCGCCACCATCGACATCGTCACCACCGCCGCCGCAGATTTCACCATCACTGTAGCCATCATTGTCCTCATCATCAATATCGCCACTTGCTGATCTCGTCAAGGAACATATAAACCATTACGGAAACTTCAGATCATCTTCACAGCAGCGGCTTTTGGCGACTCATCGAAGAAAGGCGGTCACCGCATCGCGCGCTTACAGATGCGTGCTTCTGTGGCCGTCTGGAACGCTCCTCCTGATATTAGTTAGCTTCTGGAGCTATGCACTTTTCAATCATCTAGATTGAAAACTCGTTTCTTTAGAACTGCTTTTGGTGTTAAGTTTGTTGTCCTTCCCCCGCACCTTCGATTAGCACGGCTGGCTACGTACGGCGTGAAAGAAGTTCAACATATACATCGACATTGTCACCATGAACACCCACAACATAGTCATCATCATCGAGATCGTTAACATCAACATCACCGTCACCGTCACCACCACCATCGTCACCACCACCACCACCATCACCAACATCACCGACATCATGATCACCAACATCATAGTCAACATCATCATCGAGATAGTTAACATCAACATCACCATCACCGTCACCACCATCACCCACATCATAGTCAACATCATCATCATCGAGATCGTTAACATCAACATCACCATCACCACCACCGTCACCACCACGATCACCATCACAGACATCACCCACATCATAATGCATAATCATCATCGCCGTCAACATCATCATCGAGATCATCACTACCGTCACCACCGTCACCACCACCGTCACCACCACCGTCACCACCACCGTCACCACCGTCACCACCACCATCACCATCACCACCCACATCATAATGGCATAATCATCATCGCCGTCAACATCATCATCGAGATCATCACTACCGTCACCACCACCATCACCACCACCGTCACCACCACCGTCACCACCGTCACCACCACCACCGTCACCACCACCACCACCGTCACCACCACCACCACCACCGTCACCACCGTCACCACCACCACCGTCACCACCACCGTGACGCGATTGGCGGTGCGGCCGCCCCTCAGAGCTGCTGTGGACGGCCCCGGAGCTGCTGCGTGACGCCGTGGCAGCGCGGCGCGGCACCTTCAAAGGGGACATCTTTAGCTTCGCCATCATCGTGCAGGAGGTGATCACGCGCAGCACCCCCTACTGCATGCTGGAGCTGTCCACGGAAGGTGGGTCCCGCGCGGGGTCATTGGGTCACGAGACACCAGGGCCATGGGGTCACAGGTCCCCCGTGGTCATGGGTCACGAGTACCCGCGGCCACGCATGCCTGGGGGGTTGCGGCAGAGGGGCGGTCAGGGTTCATCTTCACGATCAGGCATTGGTCAATCCGCTGCTGGATGAAGGCCTCCCCCAAGCCGTCTCGCCGCCCCTCGTGCGATGTGGCAATCCAACGCGGCGCCCGCACGCGAGCCGCTTTCATCGCTCCGTCTCCGCGGTGGACGCACTCCCAGGGCGCGCCTCCTCCTCCTTCTCCTCCTCCTCCTCGTGAATGCAGCGCCGTCGTTGAGCTCGGCCACCGTCCCCCTTCCGGCGACGCGCCCTACCCAAGGACCCTCCTACTCGCGACGTCTGAGACTTTCATCGTCAACATCGTCACTATCGTCATCGCTGCAGTTTCACTGGCGTCATCATTAGCACGACGGCCGCCGACGACCACCACTGTTTTGCCATTGAGTGGCGGTGATATTTCCACAGCGCCTGTGCCAGGCTAGGTGCACCTTGAGGCCGTCACGTGATGTATCGAAGGATCGCTGCTGGCAGTATCACAGTGGCAGACCTAGCTGGTGCCATGAGCTGACTGAATGAGATAACCGCCTGTGCCCCCTACTGTGTTACCTCGCTGTGTTTTATCCGCCCTGCGCTCCGCTCGTTGTTGTGAGCGTCGCTCCTCCGCCCTCCGTTGTTGCTGGAGGGCGACTGCCTCCAACTGCCTCAGACTGCCCGGCAGCGTCCTTTACAGCCATCCTCCTCCATACTACAAAGTAAAATCAAAGATGCCCCATAAAGCCTTTACAGACTCTTGGGGCAAGTGCTGTTAGCGAGTAGCACGGCACACGGTGTGGGGGTGGGTGGCCAGCACCACGCCCGAATGCCTTTGTCTCCACAGTGGCAATGTTTACACACCGCACCAGGTACTCATTTGAGGCTGAGTCGACCTAGGGGAGGCTCAGGACTAGTTCCATTAATCGTCACTGATTTTAGCCGTGAGCGGGAATTGAAATAGGATCACCAGGCTCGTAGCGCAGCACCCTCACTGTTACACTACTGCTCCCCATTATCAACAACATCATCATCATCATCGCCTGTACGACCTTACAATTAAACGAGTGATTTACGTCATTTCTACTGCTCCGCCGCATCACCGCCATCATTACCATCATCATCGTCGTCATCATCATTGTCATCATCGTCGTCATCAACAACGTCGTCATCATCATCATCGTTGTCATCGTCTTCATGATCATCATCGTCATCATCGTCGTCATCATGTCGTCGTCATCATTGTCGTCGTCATCGTCTTCATGATCATCATGGTCATCGTCGTCATCATTATCGTCGTCGTCGTCATCATCATCGTTGTCATTGTCGTCGTCATCGTCTTCATGATCGTCGTCGTCGTCATCATTATCGTCGTCGTTATCATCGTCATCATCATTATCATCGTCGTCGTCGTCATCGTTATCATCGTCGTCATCATTATCGGCGTCGTCATCATCGTCGTCATCATCATCGTCGTCGTCGTCATCGTCATCATCATCATCGTTGTCGTCGTCGTCGCCACCATTGCCGTTGGTGACGTGCTGTGACGTGCTGTGACGTGCTGTGACGCGCTGTGACGCGTGCAGAGATCATCCTCAAGGTGAAGCGGCCGCCCCCGCTGTGCCGCCCGAACGTGTCGGCCGACCACGCGCCGCTCGAGTGCATCCAGATGATGAAGGCCTGCTGGCAGGAGATGCCCGAGCGCAGGCCAACGTTCAACGAGGTCTTCGACCAGGTGGGGCCGGGGCGACGCTCGCGACGTCCCAACCCTCGCGACGTCCCAACCCTCGTGACGTCCCAACCCTCGTGACGTCCCAACCCTCGTGACGTCCCAACCCTGGCGACGTCCCAACCCTCGTGACGTCCCAACCCTCGTGACGTCTCCACCCTCGTGACGTCCCAACCCTCGTGACGTCTCCACCCTCGCGACGTCCCAACCCTCGTGACGTCCCAACCCTCGTGACGTCCCAACCCTCGTGACGTCCCAACCCTCGTGACGTCTCCACCCTCGCGACGTCCCAACCCTCGTGACGGCTCCACCCTCGTGACGTCCCAACCCTCGTGACGTCCCAACCCTCGTGACGTCCCAACCCTCGCGACGTCCCAACCCTCGCGACGTCGCTCAACGGAGTGGCTCATCAGCTGGTGGCATTTGTCAAAGTGACGACACATCTGCGAAACGACGTAACAAGGGGCGGGGGGAGGGGTAAATGAGGGTACGAGTGTACTAGTAACCCCACGTGACTGCCGCCGTCACGTGACAAGTCTCGCGTGGTGCGTACCCCCAGAGCTGTATCCCGGCGGGGTGGTTAGGGAGCGCCCTGGGAGGCGCCGGAGCGTCGTGCCCCGCACCTCCGATGGGCACGGTTGGCTAGGTACGGTGCAAAAGAAGTTCCAAGCGCGTACACATGCCCGCGCGTTGCCCTCCGCAGTTCAAGAACATCAACAAGGGCCGCAAGACGAACATCATCGACTCGATGCTGCGGATGCTGGAGCAGTACTCGAGCAACCTGGAGGACCTCATCCGCGAGCGCACCGAGGAGCTCGAGGTGGAGAAGCAGAAGACGGACAAGCTGCTCACGCAGATGCTGCCCCCGTGAGCGGGACACACACGCACACACAGACAAAGATCCCCCCGTACAGCCTGAACAGACTGTTGTGGCAAGTGCTGTGGTCGAGCACCTACAGCAGGGGTGTTCAAACTTTTTTTTTTTCCCGAGGGCCACATACAGGAAAATATACGAAGGACTGGGCCACTCACTAGACGTGAGGGATGCTGCCTCACTTCTCATGCACTAATATTGGCAAAATCAATCAAATGCAGGTAAATTACGTTTGATAATTGAACATATTTGAAGAAAAAAAGCCTCGATCATAGCTCTCCATTAGTAGATTTTCATTTTATTTTTTACAAAAAGGTTGGCAGGTCATTCTCTCAGTGACAGCCTCAGATTGGTTCTTAGGGTGCTGATCCCCCTTCATTGTCCTGTATGAAGGGAGAGACAAGAAGAGCAATAGGGGATGTGGATATTTCAAGCTTATTACACAAATTATTGGGCTTGTTAACACATCAACTAACGTTTGTTAAAAAATTGCCATCAACTTGAATTGACTGAATTTATTAAGTAATTGGGCTTATTAACAAATGAAAACTGTGTATATTTTTAACTTACCTGTACTGGGAAGAATGTTGCGCTCAGTGGGAGCAGTGATGCTGCGCTTTGGTCTGAAGGATAGCTGGCAGGTCAGGAGTAAGTTTGGTGGTTGAGATGCGAAGGACGTCACGGAGATGGCTGTCGATCGTTCTGGTTCTCAGTCTGCTTTTGTTCAGCGTTAACAGAGAGAATGTCTGCTCACAGATCTATATTGAGCCGAACAGACTCATCATTCGTTTTGCGTGGCGTCTCATCAGAGGAAACTTGGCCTTTTCCAAGCTCCGGTAGAAGTCAGGTAGGGGGAGAAGCTGATGCTGATTCTTCAGAGAATCATCACACTGAATTTCGATCAGTTCTAATTGCAGACTCTCCTCCACTTCTTTTGCATCCTTTGAAAACGGAGCCGCAAACGGTGTGATTTCCTTCTCAATGACAGAAAAATCTTGGAAGCGCTGACTGAATTCTGTCATGAGAGATGTGATCACAGACACATATTCTCCCATTTTTGCAGAGAGCTTGGCATTTGGAAATGCGCTTTTGATTTCGTTCAGCGTGGGGAAGTGCGCTACATTCAAATTGCGCAGTTTGTGACTCGAAGAGATGGAGTTTCGCACGGAATGCTTTCATGTGCGCATACAGCTGTGGTACCAGCTGCTCTTTGCCTTGTAGTCTCTTGTTCTGGGTGTTGAGATGATCAGTGAGATCAACTAAAAAAGCCAGGTCTGCCAACCATAAAGGGTCACTGATCTCATGTAGAGGTCTGCCCTTTTCTTTCAAAAACTTGTCGATATTTGATCTCGGGGAATAAACCGCTGCAGCACGGAGCCGCGACTGAGCCAGCGCACTTGAGAATGGTAGAGTAGGTCCCCGTATTCAGCGTCGACGTCAGAGAGGAACGCGTGAAATTATCTGTGGTAAAGCCCTCGTGCCCGAATTATGTTGACCGTTTTCACAACTGTGTTCATCACATCGCCAAGCTGGATTATCTTGGCACAGAGGGCTTCCTGGTGGATGATACAGTGCATTTTGACAGCCTCACCTCTGCTCTCCAGCACCTTGGCACTCACCATAGAGGCCGTTCCTTTGCGCTCGCCTGTCATTGCTGGAGCCCCATTCGTTGTAATTCCACACAGCTTGTCCCATTTAAGTCCAGCCTGGTCAATTGCATCTGACACAGCTTCAAACATGTCCTTCCCAGTTGCTGTCCCCTTTAGACTCCGAAGATCGAGCAGTTCCTCCGTAATGCAAAAATTATCATCAACTCCCCGCAAAAAAATTAACAGCTGTGCAGTGTCCGTGGCATCTGTGCTCTCATCACATGCAATCGAGTAAAAATCGTAAGCACAAGCTTTATCTGACACTTGCTGTTTTAAGTTAGCCGACAAGTCTTCAATTCGCCGCACAACCGTATTTCTGGACATACTATAACATCGTTGAAATCCTGCATTTTCTCCAGGCACATTATTCCCACGACGTTAAGTGAGGCAACTGTTTGATGAAGTCACCGTCTGAGAAAGGTTCCCGTTGTAGGGCAATGAGCCGAGCTACTTCATAACTGGCCATTGTTGCATTTTCTTGAGCTTTGTTAGCACGGAAAAACCCCTGCTGCTGCGTTAGCAGGATCGCTGCCATTTGCTTTACCTTCTCTCTCCGCTCGGCGCCAGTGTAGGACGTGAAGGTCTGATGTTTCGTTTCATAATGCCGTCGTACATTGTACTCTTTCATCACGACAACAACCTCATTACAAATCAAACAAACACACTTCCCCTTGGTTTCTATGAAAAGAAATTCATTTTTCCACCGAGTCTGACATTTTCTGCACTCGCTTGCAATCTTGCGTCTCTTCAGTTCCGGCATTTCTGGTGACCCTGAGCAATTTTTTTCTTCGATTGCTTGCTTTGTGGAGACGCTGCCTTGTTCAAGACAACAATAGCGCCACCTCGTGTTTAAACTAAGAAGTGCAATACAGTGGGCTATAGTCCATTATATTTTAGACTTTGATACGGGCCAATTAAAAATGGATGGCGGGCCGCAGTTGGCCCGCGGGCCGTAGTTTGGACACCCCTGACCTACAGTATGAAGGCCGGAACAGCACGCGAGAGAGTGGGTGGCCAACACCACGCCCGGCCGCCTTTGTATCCCCAGTGGCGATGTTTACATACCGCACCGGGTACTCATTTGAGGCTGAGTCGACCTAGGGGAGGCCCAGGACCGGTCCAGATAATCGTCACCGGTGTTGGCCGTGAGCGGGAATTGAACTCAGGTCGCCGGATTCGTAGCGCAGCGTAGCACTAACCGCTGCACCACCGCTCCCAACACACACAGTGACACACACAGTGACACACAGTGACACAAACAGTGACACAGTGACACACAGTGACACACAGTGACATAAACAGTGACACACAGTGACACACACAGTGACACACAGTGACACAAACAGTGACACACAGTGACATAAACAGTGACACACAGTGACATAAACAGTGACACACAGTGACACACACAGTGACACAAACAGTGACACACACAGTGACACACACAGTGACACAAACAGTGACACACACAGTGACACACAGAGTGACACAGAGTGACACACACAGTGACACAAACAGTGACACACAGTGACACAAACAGTGACACATACAGTGACACACACAGTGACACAAACAGTGACACACACAGTGACACACACAGTGACACACACAGTGACACACAGTGACGCACACAGTGACACACACAGTGACACGCAGTGACACAAACAGTGACACAAACAGTGACACACAGTGACACACAGTGACACACACAGTGACACAGAGTGACACACAGTGACACAAACAGTGACACACAGTGACGCACACAGTGACACACAGTGACATAAACAGTGACACACACAGTGACACACAGTGACACAAACAGTGACACATGGTGACACACAGTGACACACACAGTGACACACACAGTGACAAACAGTGACACACACAGTGACACACACAGTGACACACAGTGACACACACAGTGACACACAGTGACACACAGTGACACACACAGTGACATATAGTGACACACACAGTGACACGCAGTGACACAAACAGTGACACACAGTGACACAGAGTGACACACACAGTGACACACAGTGACACACACAGTGACACACAGTGACACACAGTGACACACACAGTGACACACAGTGACACACACAGTGACACACAGTGACACACACAGTGACACACAGTGACACACACAGTGACACACAGTGACACACACAGTGACATAAACAGTGACACACACAGTGACATAAACAGTGACACACACAGTGACATAAACAGTGACACACACAGTGACACATAGTGACACACAGTGACACACACAGTGACACACACAGTGACACAAACAGTGACACACAGTGACGCACACAGTGACACACAGTGACACACACAGTGACACAGAGTGACACAAACAGTGACACACACAGTGACATAAACAGTGACACACACAGTGACACACAGTGACACAAACAGTGACACACACAGAGATCCCCCCCGGCCTGGGACAAGTGATGTTGCTGTTATCGCGAGCATCCACGAAGGCCGGCACGGCGCACGAGGAGTTGCGAGAGGCGGCACGGTGGTGAGGTGTGGCAGGGTGGGTGAGGTGTGGCCGGGTGGGTGAGGTGTGACAGGGTGGGTGAGGTGTGGCAGGGTGGGTGAGGTGTGACAGGGTGGGTGAGGTGTGGCAGGGTGGGTGAGGTGTGGCAGGGTGGGTGAGGTGTGGCAGGGTGGGTGAGGTGTGGCCGGGTGGGTGAGGTGTTGCCGGGTGGGGAGGTGTGGCAGGGTGGGTGAGGTGTGGCAGGGTGGGTGAGGTGTGGCAGGGTGGGTGAGGTGTGACAGGCGGTGAGGTGTGGCAAGGTGGTGAGGTGTGGCAGGGTGGGTGAGGTGTGGCAGGGTGGGTGAGGTGTGACAGGGTGGGTGAGGTGTGGCCGGGTGGGTGAGGTGTGACAGGCGGTGAGGTGTGACAGGGTGGGTGAGGTGTGGCAGGGTGGTGAGGTGTGGCAGGGTGGGTGAGGTGTGGCAGGGTGGGTGAGGTGTGGCAGGGTGGTGAGGTGTGACAGGCGGTGAGGTGTGGCCGCGTGGGTGAGGTGTGGCCGGGTGGGTGAGGTGTGGCAGGGTGGGTGAGGTGTGGCCGGGTGGGTGAGGTGTGGCAGGGTGGGTGAGGAGTGGCAGGGTGGTGAGGGGTTTGCAGCCCGGATTGGAACCCACGACCTCAGTGGTGACCCTGAACCATGCGGCCTCCTCCATTCTACCTAGTCTCCCTCTCTCCCCCTCTCTCCTCCTCTTCCTCCTCCTCTCTCTCCATCTCTTCCCCTCTCTCCTCCTCCTCTCTCTCCTCCTCTCTCTCCCCCTCTCTCCTCCTCTTCCTCCTCCTCTCTTCCCCTCTCTCTCACCAGCTCCGTGGCGGAGTCCCTGAAGAAGGGGACGCCCGTGGAGCCGGAGCACTTCGACGAGGTGACCATCTACTTCAGCGACATCGTCGGCTTCACCACCATCTCGGCAATGAGCGAGCCCATCGAGGTGGTGGACCTCCTCAACGACCTCTACACCCTCTTCGACGCCATCATCGGCTCCCACGACGTCTACAAGGTCTGCGTCTGTCGGTGCCCGCCTGACCGCGTCTGCGTGTTTCCGTGTGTCTCGGGCTGCATGGCGGAGTTATGATACCCATCGGCGTCTGTGCCTGACTCAGTGAAGACCAATGCATGTATATTGAACTTCTTTCGCACCGTACGTAGCCAACCCCCAGCACCATCACAACCCTAACCACCATCACAACCCCACCACCAGCAGCACCCCCATTGCCACAACCACCTTAACTACGGCTACCACAACAATACTGTACCTCCACTACCACCACCACCACCAATGCTACCACCGTCATCGTCATCATCGCGACCAATGCCATCTTGACCACCGCAATGATCGCCGCCGCGAACAACGTTGGCACGAGGACTTTCCTACCCCCTCTGGCACCAACACCTCCGTCTCTGAGGTCTTTATTGCTACCGATTCCACCTCCACCACAATCACCACCTCCAGCCACTGGCGGAGCCGGGGGGGGTAGCACGTGCCCCCCCCCCCCCCCCAATGATCCGATCGAAATCCCTAATTTCGATCGGACCATTGGGGTTTATTAGTAATAAATCGGCATTTTGCGACCCCCACTGCCACTGTGTAGCATATTATTACTACGTGCCAGGGACTATGAGATGATAGGACAATAGTCTGAGTCCATAATTGGCAATAAGTAACGGCAAAGCAGTGAAAAGTGACTCAGAATTGTGCGCAGTTGCGTATCCAGTCCACGACTTCCCAGAAGGCATTCACCTTGAGTGAGCACGATGCCGATCATACAACGCGGTTCTTACTAACAACTCCTTACTTACTAACAACTCCTTACTTACTAACAACACCTTACTTACTAACAACTCCTTACTTACTAACAACTCCTTACTTACTAACAACTCCTTACTAACAACTCCTTACTTACTAACAACTCCTTACTCGCTAACAACTCCTTACTCACTAACAACTCATTACTAACAACTCCTTACTTACTAACAACTCCTTACTTACTAACAACTCCTCACTAACAACTCCTTACTTACTAACAACTCCTTACTTACTAACAACTCCTTACTTACTAACGACTCTTACTAACGACTCCTTACTTGCTAACAACTCCTCACTAACCACTCCTTACTAACAACTCCTTACTTACTAACAACTCCTTACTCACTAACAACTCCTTACTTACTAACAACTCCTTACTCACTAACAACTCCTCACTAACAACTCCTCACTCACTAACAACTCCTTACTCACTAACAACTACTTACTAACAAGTCCTTACTAACTCCTTACTTACTAACAACTCCTTACTTACTAACAACTCCTTACTAACAACTCCTTACTTACTAACAACTCCTTACTCACTAACAACTACTTACTTACTAACAAGTCCTTACTAACTCCTTACTTACTAACAACTCCTTACTTACTAACAACTCCTTACTTACTAACAACTCATTACTAACAACTCCTTACTTACTAACAACTCCTTACTTACTAACAACTCCTTACTCACTAACAACTCCTTACTCACTAACAACTCCTTACTAACAAGTCCTCACTAACAACTCCTTACTTACTAACAACTCCTTACCAACAACTACTTACTAACAACTCCTTACTTACTAACAACTCCTTACTAACAACTACTTACTAACAACTCCTTACTTACTAACAGTCCCTTACTAACAACTACTTACTAACAACTCCTTACTAACAAGTCCTTACTAACAACTCCTTACTAACAACTCCTTACTAACAACTCCTTACTTACTAACAACACCTTACTTACTAACAACACCTTACTAACAACTCCTTACTTACTAACAACTCCTTGCTTACTAACAACACCTTACTAACAACTCCTTACTTACTAACAACTCCTTACTTACTAACAACTCATTACTAACAACTCCTTACTTACTAACAACTCCTTACTTACTAACAACTCCTCACTAACAACTCCTTACTTACTAATAACTCCTTACTTACTAACAACTCCTTACTTACTAACAACTCCTTACTCACTAACAACTCCTTACTAACAAGTCCTCACTAACAACTCCTTATTCACTAACAACTCCTTACTAACAAGTCCTCACTAACAACTCCTTACTTACTAACAACTCCTTACTCTCTAACAACTCCTTACTAACAACTCCTTACTTACTAACAACTCCTTACTAACAACACCTTACCAACAACTCCTTACTTACTAACAACTCCTTACTAACAACTCCTTACTTGCTAACAACTCCTTACTTACTAACAACTCCTTACTAACAAGTCCTGACTAACTCCTTACTCACTAACAACTCCTCACTAACAACTCCTTACTTACTAACAACTCCTCTGTAATGTTTCATTGCTGGAGGGGTTGCCCTCCCCCCCAACCTGAAAATCCTGGCTCCGTCATTGCCTCCAGCGCTCTCCCGTGATCTTGACGGCCCCCCCCACCAACCCCCCCCCCCACCAACTCCCCCCCACCAACCCCCCACCAACCCCCCCCCCACCCCCCCCGCCGCCCCCAGGTGGAGACGATTGGCGATGCGTACATGGTGGCGTCTGGGCTGCCCGCACGCAACGGGAACCGCCACGCGGCCGAGATCTCCAACATGTCGCTCGACATCCTCAGCGCCGTCGGCTCCTTCAAGATGCGTCACATGCCGGACGTGCCGGTGCGCATCCGCATCGGCCTGCACTCCGGTGAGTCCGGCCACCGCCACCACCGCCGCCACCCACTGCCGCTATCATTACCACCTGGCACCACCACCGCCACCACCACTATCTACACCACCACCCACTGCCGCTATCATTACCACCTGGCACCACCACCGCCACCACCACTATCTACACCACCACCACCACCACCACCCATTACCGCTATCACCACCACCCACTACCGCTATCACCACCACCTGGCACCACCACCGTCACCACCACCGCCACCACCACTATCACCACCACTATCACCACCACCACCCACTGCCGCTATCGCCACCACCCGGCACCACCACCGCCGCCACCACCACTATCTACACCACCACCACCACCACCCACTGCCGCTATCGCCACCACCCGGCACCACCACCGCCACCACCACCACTATCTACACCACCACCACTACCACCCACTGCCGCTATCGCCACCATCTGGCACCACCACCACCACCACTATCTACACCACCACCACTATCTACACCACCAGCACCACCACCCACTGCCGCTATCGCCACCACCTGGCACCACCACCGCCACCACCACTATCTACACCACCACCACTATCTACACCACCACCACTATCTACACCACCACCACCACCACTATCTACACCACCACTATCTACACCACCACCACTATCTACACCACCACCACCCACTACCGCTATGGCCACCGTGCAGCACCACCCGGCTTCCACTGCTACCTCCACCATCACTGCCCAGCACCGCAACCATAATTAATTATGGAGGAATCATAACTCTGGCTTGCCCCAACAGTCTGAGTTAGCTACACGGGGGACCTTCATCTTTCGTGTGTGTTGTGTGTGTGTGATATGTGTGTTGTGTGTGTGATGTGTGTGTGTGTTGTATGTATTGTATTTGTGTGTGTGTGTGTTGTATGTGTTGTATGTGTTGTATTTGTGTGTGTGTTGTATGTGTTGTATGTGTTATTTGTGTGTGTTGTATGTGTTATTTGTGTGTGTGTTGTATGTGTTATTTGTGTGTGTGTGATGTATGTATGTGTGTGATGTATGTATGTGTTGTATGTGTTGTGTGTGTGTGTGACGTGTATGTATGTGTGTGCAGGCTCGTGTGTGGCCGGGGTGGTGGGACTGACCATGCCACGGTACTGCCTGTTCGGCGACACGGTCAACACCGCGTCGCGCATGGAGTCAACCGGACTGCGTGCGTACACACATACACACTCGCTGGCACGTACATACACGCACACACTCGTACACGACTATTTTAACCGGTCCTGGGCATCCCCTAGGTCGACTCGGCCTCAATTGAGTACCTGGTGCGGCGTGTAAAATATCGCCACTCGGTGATGGCCACCCACCCCGTCGTGTGCCGTGCCGGCCTTCATGGACGCTCGCTAACAGTCTGTTAAGGCTCCACGCGGGGATCGTTGTCTTTGTGTGCGCCGCAGCCTACAGAATACACATCAACATCTCAGTCAAGAACATCCTGGACTCTCTGCGCGAGGGCTACCTCTTTGAGAGCAGAGGCCAGACCGAGCTGAAGGTACGCAAGGGCGAGACTCGCCCCAAATCATCACCAGGGCAAATTAGCAATACAGGCCACCGACGGCTCCGGTTTTTTCCACCGGTACATCCAAGCCATGCCAGGGACTGTTTCCGGGCCGACCTTGAGCGCGGGTCAAGTGGCACGGGAGCCGTGCCGTGCCGTTGTACAGCAACGAGTGTGCCGGGGACGCCCGTAGACCACGCGGTGACGAGCGACGCGCACAAAACTCGCCGATCTCGTCGAGGAGCATGAATCCATCGTCGCGCGAGCTCCGGCTCATCCTCGCAGCAGCGGCGGCGGCCGCTGTCGGCTGGCCGTCAAACAAAGACGGTCGCCGCATCGCGCGGCGCTTTCGTACGCGCTGCTTCCGCGGCCGTCTGGAACGCTCTTCCTTCCGATATTAGGAAGCCACTGGGAGCGCTGCACTTTTAAATCATCGACATTTAAATCTAATCAAGAGTTGGGGGGGGGGGACACAGGGGGGCAACGCCCCCAAAACTGGACACCTTTATTAATTTATTCTGAGTAGTTTAGAATTTAGATTTAAAAAATATTAATATATTTTATGCACCCGCGATTTTTTATGTGTGTGACAGAGCGAATCCCTGCCTGCCCCCCCCCCCCCCCACCCCCAAATGTAGAAGTCAAACTCTGCCTGTGTGGAAAACGAATTTCTTTAGAACGGCTTTTTGTGTTTAGTTCGTTGTCCCGTCCCCCCGCACCTGCTTGATTAAGCACGGTCGCCTGCGCGCGGTGCGAGAGAAGTTGAACGTAGCGCACGGTGCGAGAGAAGTTCAACGTAGCGCGCGGTGCGAGAGAAGTTCAACGTAGCGCACGGTGCGAGAGAAGTTCAACGTAGCGTACGGTGCGAGAGAAGTTCAACGTAGCGCACGGTGCGAGAGAAGTTGAACGTAGCGCACGGTGCGAGAGAAGTTCAACGTAGCGCACGGTGCGAGAGAAGTTCAACGTAGCGCACGGTGCGAGAGAAGTTGAACGTAGCGCACGGTGCGAGAGAAGTTCAACGTAGCGCACGGTGCGAGAGAAGTTGAACGTAGCGCACGGTGCGAGAGAAGTTGAACGTAGCGCCCGGTGCGAGAGAAGTTCAACGTAGCGCGCGGTGCGAGAGAAGTTGAACGTAGCGCACGGTGCGAGAGAAGTTGAACGTAGCGCACGGTGCGAGAGAAGTTCAACGTAGCGCACGGTGCGAGAGAAGTTCAACGTAGCGCACGGTGCGAGAGAAGTTCAACGTAGCGCACGGTGCGAGAGAAGTTCAACGTAGCGCGCGGTGCGAGAGAAGTTGAACGTAGCGCACGGTGCGAGAGAAGTTGAACGTAGCGCACGGTGCGAGAGAAGTTCAACGTAGCGCACGGTGCGAGAGAAGTTCAACGTAGCGCACGGTGCGAGAGAAGTTGAACGTAGCGCACGGTGCGAGAGAAGTTGAACGTAGCGCACGTGCCACCTCGCAGGGCAAGGGCGTGGAGGAGACGTTCTGGCTCGTGGGCAAGGACGGCTTCACGAAGCCACTTCCCCGCCCGCCGGAGGTGCAGGCCGGGTGAGTGTGCGGGCACTCGCTCACCCACACGCCTGCACAATTCGCGTACCCTGATTCTCCGGTCATGTTTAGTTTTGGTGCCGTTGCACCCGGCTCAAGAGCCGCATGGCTCACAGGGCTGTACCTCATACATGAAACTTGAACACTTGAAACCCGCGCACCGCAAACAAACGGCAGCCATGTGGTGACATCACGACGGCGCTTGCGGCAGGCTAGGTGCACTATCTGAGGCCGCCACGTGAAGTGTCGATGGCTCACTGCTGGAAGGGGGTCACGCGACAGACCCAGGTAGGGTTATTTTGTAACGGGTGGCCTGACCGAGATGACTGGCAGATGCACCGGCTGGACTGGCAACTTCTCACCTCGCTGCATATTGTGTGCACTCGCACACAAAGACAACGGGCCCCTGTATAGCCTCAACAGAGTGTTGGGGCAAGCGCTATTCAGCGGGCTCCTACGTGAACGGGTACGGCGCATGAGGAGGTGGCGTGGCCAGCCGCCTTTGCCGCCCGAGTGGCGATATTTTGCGCGCCGATTCAGGCTGAGTTGACCTAGGGGGAGTCCCGTGTGCCGACTGATGGCTGCGCGTGCGTTGAGTGTGCAGGCAGGAGCACGGGCTGCAGCTCAACGAGATCGACCAGTCCCGCCGGGCGAAGGCAGAGAAGCTCCTGCAGAAGAAGAAGTGAAACACACTCAGCGCTTTGTGGCAAACACGCGCACGTGCACACACATGGCTCGACACATCGTGGACCTATACGCACATGCATACCTATGTGTACATGTATACCGACATATATGTGTACATGTATGCCTACATGCACACATACAGTATACATACATAGCCATACATACATGCACCCAAACATGAAGAGAAAATCCTACCGAATTGTCTTTACAGACTGTTGGGGCAAGTGCTGTTAGCGAGCACCTATGAAGGCCGGCACGGCACACGAGGGGGTGGGTGGCCAGCACCACGCCCGGCCGCCTTTGTCTCCCTAGTGGCGTTGTTTACTACACACCGCACCAGGTACTCATTTGAGGCTGAGACGACCTAAGGGAGGCCTAGGACTGGTTCAGATGATTGTCACCGGCGTTGGCCGTGAACGGGAATCAAACTCGGGTGGCCGGGTTTGTAGCGCATTGCGCTAACCGCTCCACTACCGCTCACCACATACACACTTAGTCACACGCACAAATACTCATTCACACACACTTACACACACTTAGTCACATACACACTTAGTCACACACACACTCATTACTCATACACACATACTCATTCATACTTACTCATACACACATACTCATTCATACTTACTCATACACACATACCCATACACACACATACCCATACACACTTAGTCACACACACATACCCGTACACACACATACCCATACACACTTAGTCACATACACACATACTCATACACATACCCATACACACATACACACATACCCATACACACATACACATACTTATACACACATACTCATACACACTCATCGACACATACCCATACACACTTAGTCACACATACCCATACACACATACACACATTATCATAGACACCGTAGCTCTAGGCTATGGAACTAATTAACCTCAAAGGTTCAATGTAATGTTACGATCGTTATTTTTAAATTGTAAAACATTCGATGGTTTTTAACTCGAGGCTCGTGTTTCTCTCGTAGTGTCCGCGATGTTGTGAGTTGGGTCGCGGCGTTTTAGCGCAGTCCACCTGCAGAACCGCACTGCACAGCGCTGCACAGATCTGCACGGGGCTTGCACCGTGCTGCACCCCGCTGCACTCACACAGTGCAGAGCCTGCACCGCGCCGCACGGCGCTAGGCATTGTGTTCCCGGGCTTCGTTGCTCGCTAAATATTTTCCAGGGTCGCCGGTGGGAGGCGAGTTAGCGGTAGAGTAGCAGCCACAGCCATCGCCGGGGGCCTGGCTGGATGTGGTGTGCCGGGTGTGCAACTATTGTACGGGCGCGGACAGAGCCACATTTAGATCCCTGCCCGCGGGTCAGTCGCCATCCTCCCCGGCCCGCCCGTTACATCGAAACCCCCCCCACTCCGATTGGTGTGCGATAGGTGACCGGCGCCCAGGGTCGACCGGCGATGGTGACTGAGATGACGTTGAAAGGAAACTTTGGGCGAAGCCGTTGTCAACTTTTAAGAAGAAGGGGCCGTTCATAAATGACGTCACGCACCTGGGGGGGGGGGGGGGGGGGGTGTCAGACATTTGTGACGATGTGTGACGAGGGGGAGGGGGTTTGAGAAATGTGACGTCACATCAAAAAGCGCCGCTTTAAATAAATATAGACAACACGTTCTACTTAATAAAATTAACTTCTTAATAAATGTTTTCTTCCACAACATCAGAGTGCAGCGCCGCATTAAATACGCACTACAATGACAATAGTTTAAAGCGATTTGAAACATGTTTTATTTGGGCGGCGGGGGGGCGCAGAGCTTTGTGACGTCATTTTTGAGGGGGGGGGTCTGACTTTTTGTGACGCCGTCTGACGAGGAGGCGGGGGGTCAAAAATCGCGTGACGTCATTTATGGACGGCCCTGAAGAGGTGTCATCGACAACAGCAAATCGCTGTCGTAGCTACTGGGGCAGAGGAGGAGGAGCGGGCGGGGGAGGTGGGGGGAGGTCAGTATCGAAGTATCGATCCGTCACAGATGGATATTCTCACGCTCATGGATGATGATGTTTTTGTATCGTGTGCGTGTCAAGCAGGTCACATTGGGGGTTACGCGACCGACCCGTGCAGCCACTAGAGGCGCTGTTATTCATTAATTCCCAAATAAATGTTTTTAAACACAATTCGGTAATAATCGATCTTTGAGTTAAATCGCGATCGTCGATCGAAATCGACGAAGCGGGGGTGGGTGCGAGGGGGAGGGCGGGTGGATGCTCACTCGAAACCAACATACGACCCGCGGACGCTGAACGTCACTCAAAAGCCTAACGTGAGCAGATGTGGCGACGCTTGACGCCGCTGATGCCGCTGACGCCGCTGATGCCGCTGATGCCGCTGATGATGCTGATGCCGCTGACGCCGCTGACGCCGCTGATGATGCTGATGCCGCTGATGCCGCTGATGATGCTGATGATGCTGATGCCGCTGATGCCGCTGATGCCGCTGATGATGCTGATGCCGCTGATGCCGCTGATGATGCTGATGCCGCTGACGCCGCTGATGCCGCTGATGCCGCTGATGATGCTGATGCCGCTGATGCCGCTGATGATGCTGATGCCGCTGACGCCGCTGATGCCGCTGATGCCGCTGATGATGCTGATGCCGCTGATGATGCTGATGCCGCTGACGCCGCTGACGCCGCTGATGCCGCTGACGCCGCTTGCTCGCGTCCGTCGCGCGACCGCCGCATGGCATCGTGGCGATGTCTCAAGCCTCCAGAGATCTTCTGGACCACCGAACTAAAAAAACTAAAAAAGGGCCCGACAATGGTGGTGGCCGCGCTCGTGTCGAGACCACCCAAGCGCGTGCGTGGCCGTGCCTAGGGGCAACTCCGTTTCACTTTGGTGGACGCTGGTCTAAAGCGTCAAACGGCCACGGCTGCTTTGAGTTGGTGGTCTCGACAAGGCTGAGGGCATTGTCTATGCCAATGGTTCTCACCCGGAACGGGGAGGGGGGGGGGGTACGCAGACCCCCTGGGGATACGTGGCTATGTCCCAGGGGGGTACTTGGTGTGATTTATAAATGCGTGAATGTATTTGATACGTGAGAGTCACTGGTGAATAATCACGCATGAATCTGCCGATATAAAAAAAATAGCTACGATAAAATGTACATCCACGCGGTAACCTAGAGCGGTCCAAAAGACCTTGTCTAAACCCATGGATCGTTAAACAATGTTGTTCTTCTTGTTGTTGTTGTTGCTTTCAAGAGGAACCAGCGAGCGTCAACAAATCACGGCACACACGCTGAAGCGTCCGTGGCAAAACATGTTTTTTTTTAATTCGCTTGCAGTGACTTAGCCAAGTTAGGATAACCTCGCAAAAAAAATGGACGATTGGTTAAAAAAATATTCCACGTTCATTATTCGCGCGTTTATTTCTCAGAGCCATGTTGGGTGAGGCAAGGGGGGAGGGGGGTACACTCCTTGGTTGAAACAACCTTCAACAAGGCGGGGGGTGGGGGGACGGTGCAGTAGTAGCCAACAGAAGATTGAGAACCACTGGGTCTGTGCAATGCGGGGGTCACGTGGCGAGGCGAATGGACGCGAGTCGTGTCCGCCCTGATGCACGAATTATTCCCTTGTCGTATGGGGGGTGGGGGGGTGTGGGTTTCTCCTCATTTCTCTCTCTCTCCCTCTCTCTCGAGAGAGAGGAAGAGAGAGAGGGTGTCGGATTTGAATGACCAAATGTATATCTAAATGAGCTCAAGCCCTCGAGCAAATCACGTGACTCGCGTGTGCCCCCCCCCCCCACCCGGAATCTGAATCCCTCCCCACCGCCCCCTGTGAAAACAGACGCTGCTAGCTCACGTCTTACCCCCAACCCCCCATCCCACCCTCGTTCCTCCCCTCTCATCATTACCACAATCTCATCCCCGACATCTTCGTCATTCATTCTCCCCCTCGTCCCCTTCCTGCCCCGCCGCTCACTTCCTTCATTAGGTCATTCATTCATCAAGCGACGCCAGTGAAGGACCGTTGCGACAACGTTCGCACAAACCGCTCTTGTTGCGACATCCCAGGCGCTCATTCACTGGTCCCATTTATCTGTTGCCTTCCCACATTTTCCTCTAAATTTCCCATTCTTCCCCTGCTCTATGCGCGAATCCCATTCCTCTTTCATTCCCATGCATATTATATCCTTGACTCCACTCCCCGTCCTGTGGTGTGCCATGGGTGCAAAGTTTTATACGCGTCTAGAACACTTAACGCCACGTGAAAAAAAACAAATATGAATGTCTTGTCTGAGGAAGTCACTGTTTTGAAGCTATGAGTTATAGGCGTAGGCCGTGCGGATCATTCACTTTGCTTCATACGCTGGGTTGAACTTTCGTTTGCCGTTGTACCCTTTATTTAACCACGAGATGAAATAAACCCGTTGAGACCCATGACACAGCATTGCGTCTATTTCAAATATTACTATTTTTTTTATTTTACTAGGTAAGGCCCAACTGAGCTAAAGTACAGCTCTTTGATTAGAAGCGACCTGGCCACAAATGATTGGCTCAACGAAGTGGCTTATCGCGTGGAAATGTATAGCAGCCAAATACTCTAAACGCGCGGTGTTGATTCAAAATGAATTGGCCCAAAACATCCGAAATGAATAAACCGGAAATCCGGTCTTGCAGTCCATTAACAGATTTTTAAACATCATGTCAATTTACAGAGATGCCTTACACCAGGCTAGAGCTTGTTTCTTCTCAAAACTCATTGCGAGCAATGTTAATGACCCCAGAGCACTTTTTGCTACTGAAATGACAATAGAGTTTGTATGCGGTGTGAGTGGACTAGTGGCCACGGGAGGTAATAACGGGTGTTCAGCCTACAGCGCGAGTGTACTAGTGGCCACGGGAGGTAATAACGGGTATCAGTTGTCAGTGTGAAGAGACTGGTGGCTACGGGAATGATCGAGAAGGGAGGGTGGTCAGGTGACACAAGAGGACGGTAGAGTGCCGGTGGAGCGAGCGTCCAGAGTCAGCGAGAAGGTTTGGGAAGGGGGGGGGCGTGGCCTCGGTTGGTATATAAGGGGGAGATGCGCGGGAGAATCAGAGCTGTTGCAGTGGGGGTCTCCGCCTGATGTCAAGTGAGCGTGTCTTCAATAAAGTGCCAGCTCAAAAGAAGTGTGTCAAGTCGTCATTACACTAGGATTGAACGGATGTTAAAGCCACCTTCTCAGCCATCCTCTTCCCAATCCAAAGATGAATGCGAGTCATTTCTAAAATTATTCTCGGATAAAATTTACAACATCCGACTCC